TAATAGCCAGAGTTTTGTTCTTGATGCTCAAGTTTTACTGTCATTATGGTAGTGTAAAAACTCTCATTATAGTAGCTTAAAAAAATAAAAGAAGGGTGAGATGTGGGGAGCTGATATAGGGTTAAGCCTGGGACTGACCTGTGGGCAAAGTCACAAACAATTCCCAGCTTAGAGGGCACAGTCCTCTTAGCATAATTAGGCTTGACCTTATGAGGCTCTCTAGATCTTATCTGGGAAGCTAATGGGCTGAGGGAAGTGCAGGAAGTGTAACTATGGTCAAAACAAGTGAAACTCACAAGAACTGTGTAACTATAGAAACCACTACCTTGTTTACCTCTCACTATAAAATAAAGGCTCAGCTTGCCTTGGGATCTTTCTCTGTGGCCTCAGCCAGGCACAGGGAAGATCCACGGAGACTAAGGAAAGCTAGAGAGTTCTGAACGCTGTCTCTGTGTAAAACCTTCTTCACCGACTCCGTCCACACCTTTGGGACCCCTGGACCCGCTGGGGCTGGACCCCAGCACAAAGCTCCCATCAGCCCCAAACTATCCCTCCACATATGACCATGGGAATAGAAGCTCTCAGGAGTCCTTGGAAATTGTAGGAAGGCCAATGATTGTCACACCATTATAGGTTGGGCACAACCACTGTATTTGGATATGAGAGGAAAGCATGCCTTCAAAAGGCTAGATGGATGACTTGGGTTGTACAAAGAGCTACATCAAACATGATACCACAGAATTATACGTACATTATACATATATTCACATCATAAATCCACATCCATCATTTGTGAAACAAGTCTAATAATCTTGAGTATATTTTTACTCTAATATTAATATATAGAGAAAACCAGGAGGCACTTCCAGTAAATCTGGCAAAAAAGGAGCATCATTATAGTTTCTAAGCTAAAAATTAATAAAAATAAATACAATTTACCTAATGATTTTTCTGTACAGATTCTACTTTTTACAAAACATGTATCAGCCATTAACTATGTCACTTAACCAACAGCATTTATAATAGGGTGATACAAAGTATTGCTACATATATTAAGTGCAAGAGACAGTTGAGGACAGATTTATTTTTTAATTGCAAAATGATTACTTAAGTTCAATGCCTCACTCTTAGATTTTTAAATGTTGATAAATTTGGAAAGGTATTAATAAACATATTCAGTTGTTAAAAGTCATGAGAATTACATTCTCATGTACAAATGACATCCCCTACACTCTTACTTTGGTTGGTGGTTATTTAAAAATATTGCTTTTTAGGAATACTAAATTAAGTTAATACTCTCTGGTTTGTAAATATCCTACAAATTCAAATATTTGAATGACAGTTTTATGCCTGGAAGAGGTAACCACTGGTCAGAACAATATGCCTCCTCAGGACTCAACATATTTTAACACCAAAAACGGAGTCAAAGTAAGCAAATCAATCCAAACAAAAACAACTCTGGATTGAAATGGAAATTCTTTCGGTTGCATATCCTAATGTCATTATAGAAAGCCATGGAGAATCTAATTTTCATCATTTTGCATTGACACTTTCAGAATATTTATAAAAGCACCAATTTTCATTTTGTAATTTGCATGATAAAAATTTCTAGGAAGAAATAGCAGGGGATGATGGGTTCAGTGATATTCATTTGCAGTGCTTGTCAACTAATAAATTGTCTTGTTGGAACAAAAATGCTATGAGTTCTGTGAGAATATACCAAGAAATGAGCTACACTAAAAAATGAAAACAAACACACACCAGTTAAGCATACATAACATGGTAATAATCCCATGCAATTATTTTACAGAGTATTAAAAATAGTGATCTTTAAACTAATGAACAAATATATACTAAAGTTTAAGCCACTTCAATCCCACTAACAGGTAATATATAGATATGTTAGGGCTATTATTTAAAGATAGTAAGACTACAGTACTGGATTATGCTTATAATAGCTAAAGCAAAGTATCTAACAATATGGATTTAAAATCATAATCAGTTAAATTTTAAAAGAACGGTGATGGCAATTATATCAGCAACAAGTTATATACACGAAGAAAAGATCTTTAAGCAATTACTTTTAATTTCACATTGAACCATCTGAATAGTTTGTTATTCTAAAGGAGTAAAATTACTAATATTTAAAAAAATCCTTCTTTTCAAAAGTATTCAAGCAGCAGTTTCAAAGCTCCAAGGGCTAATTCACATTCTGAAACATGTGTAAGTGCTGATTGTAGTAAATGAAGTCAGGGTTGAAATATGGATCCATTAAGCAAATAAGTCCCTTTACTCCAGAGTAACTAATAACTAACTAAATTGGTTGTCATAAAATTGAGAGGTGTACTGGGATGATCCTTGAAGTTTTATGTAGTGTTCACTCCCAATCCACAGTTCTGCCTTTTTGTTTTTTATTTTTTCACTTTTTAGTAAGATGGGCTGAACAATAAAACTAGGTGTGCCGAGTTGGAACTTAAGGTAAAAGGCAATCTCCTTATTACAACAGAGGAGAATTTCTAATTATTTTTTTCTTTACTAACTTTGAGTTAGAGAAGTAAAATTGAGGAGAAGCCCTTATTTTCCCCCTATGCCTTTGACTTTATTTATTTATTTTTAGAAGACACGAAATCCCTGATTCCCTGCTGTAGTTTCTGTTTCATTGGAAATAGGTATTTCTACTGACACCAAAAATTTAGTTAAAGCATTAAAGCTTTACAAATATTTTTAAGTTCTTTTCTATTTATAAATTTCAAATCCCAACCGACCATTTGATCATTCTTGGCAGATGAATGCAGTGAGTGTGGTTTATTGACTGGTCAGTGTTTCATCTGTGGAAGTCAAGATTAATAAGATTTAACTTTTCTTGGTAATGAAGATAAGTATTTAGGTTTTAAATTGCATTATAATTTAGTAAAATATAACCTCTACTGATATACCATTTATCTTAAAATAAGCTAAAACATGATTAAGTAGCTGGATAATACACCCTTTTTTCTTAAGGTAACTCAGAACTCTGAGTATAATTTGTACACTTAATCTAATTAAATCATTGGGAGTAAATTTCTCTATCACATGCATTTATTAGACTCTTCGTAAAACATTTTTCTCCCTGAGTTAAAGGACATTAGAAAAAAAATAAATATTCATCTTTAAAGTTTCCTGTTACATAATACTAGTTCTGATTATATCAATATATTTAGCATCTCTATATCATGGAATGTCATTTTGTGGGTTTCATTTAAGTTGAATAACAAATGAACAGCTTTGGTTAAAAATAAATCAAATGTAAAGATTCTTGAAAGTACATTTGGTGATTAAATATTACTATCTGTGAAGCATTTTTTATTGCATTATTTGCATGATTAAAAAATGATTTCTTGATATGAAGCCATGAGGAAATCTATCTGAACATGGACATGTTCAGTATTTCTTATCAATAAGAAGGCTTGGCTTTTCTTCTGTGTTCCACAGCTCCTCAGTGAAGCAGAAATCCACAGATACCCACACCTGTCAAGGTACTTTACCTTAAAAGTATAATATGGAGAATTTGGATTCTTTTTAGAACGTTAGGCATATGTCAAAAACTAATTTTGTTTTCCATCTATATATAATTTTATATAGTTTATAGTCTTACCTGCACTCAAGTAATTTATATTGGATCAGTATTTTTAAAGCAAATTAACACCGAGTTCCAACAATAAAACAAATCCTTAATCTTCAGTTTGTATCTTCAAACATGTTTAGCAACAAAATGCCCAGTTATTATATTTGTCACCTGCTGTTCGAATGACTTGATAGTCTGAACATAAAGATAAGTTTAGGTAAGGTGAAAGAACCCTTAAGTTAGAAAAAAGCAGCATCATTTTGGCAAATGAAATTGCCTAAAATCCATGGTGCATAACAGACTGAAAAACATGTTTGTGTTCTTCTCTATGGTTCTCTAGTATGAAGCATACACATGCTTATGGAAACTCAATTTAAGTTCTTTAGCTAATCCATGGTTTGTAGCTTCATTTACTCAGTGCTTATAGTTTAAGTAATTCACCCCCAAATTTTCAATAGGAATTTGAATGTTTTCTAGAGGAACTGGTATGAATATAGGACTGGTATTATTTCCCTCTGATTAGAAATTCTAAGAGTAATTTAGTTTTGGAATGCCTTTTACATAACATGGCTAATCTGTCTCCTACATTAAGGTTTTCATTTTGTTGAACAACTAAGAAAAATGAACGGACAATATCAGCAAGTTCACAGTTTTACCTCATGAAAAAAATCATGAGAGAAATGAATGAACTAGAACAACAGGCATAAAGTATTTTGCTGCTTGTTAGGAGAGAAGGTGAATGAAAGAAACCCAATTTGGTTCAAAGTATGTAGATACTGAAGCTATCAATTATATAGAGTTCAGCTACTAGCACTTAAAATTTGATTGATTTCCCCCCTTAAGCATTACTGATAATCTCTAGAATAAGGAATATCTTGATTTACTCTAGACTATGAAAGTTTGCAGAACTCTGTTGTACTTGAGTCTTCTGACAGTTTAAAAGGCAGTTTATTTCTAAAATGGCATATAAACTAGATAAGGCATTAAGTAGAAATCAGGGTTAGGTTGGAAGAAAAGGATGATAAGACTCTTATTGTGGTTTTCATTATTATTTTAGAAATATTGAAAATGAGGACAGTAGAGATCCCCATACTGACACAGAAGCACCAAAAAGACCTTCCAACGTAGAACAGATAATTTTTTGATTATTCGCTTCTCATTAGGCAAAAATTGTTCATCACACAAATAGTTCACATTTGTAAAGCAGTTATTTCAAACTTTAAACTTTATTTACAATGATAATTTTCATATCTTTATTACTTAGAAAATAATTTATGTTTTTCCATCATTTAAACAAAGTATAGGCCTGAGACTCATGCCTTTTGCACAGCTTTTACCTTCAAGGAAAGTTCTCTGGGAAAGTGACAGGGACATCAGGAAATCGTGAACCAAGAGAGGCAGGGGACACGAGGAAATCGCAATACATACATGTAATATGAACAGTCTACACGACATGCAACCCCTTTTCTTCAGTTTTACTGGGATTGCAACGATTGGAACTTGTTCTGAATTCCATCAAAATGGACTGGACAAAATTGGATATTCTGTTTTTATAAAGTGGATATTTTCTTAAACATAATATGAAAAAATTCCTTGTCAGATGAAGACCAATAGATATATCCCTGTACAGAGCTTCTACTGTCTTCATCTTCTGCTGAGAACAAAACCAGGTGTGATATAAATGAGAAAAAAATTACACTTGAAAAACACCTTAAAGTGGTGTTTTCACCAAAGAAACTATTTTAAAAGTTGGCTTAGATGGCTGGAAAGACATTGATATCACTCGTATTACACCTGGTCTTTTCCTCCATGGAGAACCACCACTAGCATCAAGGTCGTTCGTTCCAACCTTTTCTACCATTGGTTTCATGGCTGCCTATACAATTCTCTTTTCCCCTAAATGGGCCAGAAATTCCTTCATTTGAAAGACCTGAGTTTACCTAATGGCACCTATAAATAGACTCCTATAAAAATGTAACAAATTGAACAAATACACTTCAAGGAATGAATCTCCGCAGTTGGAAGTGAACGCAATAATATTGCTGTCATCAAGGAGGGGGGAGAACTTCACGAGCAGAAATGACTTTCTATGTCCCTAGGCATCCTTGGGGATGTACTGGGTGTGTATGAAAGGGACACATACTTGATGAATCTCTGTTCCTTCATTTCAATTGACTTCCTGCTTTAATATCTGGATAATTTATTTTTGAAGGAAAATGATCAGTCTGCTTAGACTGATAAACACAACTCTGGAATGAAGAGGTTCCAACTGCTTTGGCCATCATTCCTTCATGTGCTTTAAAACAAAACAAACAAAACAGGCCGTTCACTGAGGCCTGTACTCTGGCCTTTGCTTGGGGTCAAGCTGCTTGGACGAAGCTGCTCATATAAGGTTACAGACTCACATCTGTTCTCCTGCCATTCTACTTGCTCCACACCTAGATCTTTCCTGGACTTATATTTATTTTAGAAAGTATGGCATTTGGAGAAGGGGGAAAAGATCAGTTTGGTGAAGGAACTAGACTTAAGCGGTATGTGAGCCTAAATCCTTCTTTTTCCTTTCTCTTATTAGCAAGGGAAGAATAGTTAAGTTCATTGGGGAAATGTACTGACTCAAAATAACTTTTGCAAACATAAAGGCACGTAGGCAATACTAAGAAAATGGAAAACTCAGTAAGTCCTAAATAATGAAGACAAAAAAAGCAAATATCCTCATTATTTAGAGTCGGCAACAATTTCATCCTTTTAATATTTTCATACTAATTTCATCCTTTCAATATTTTCATACTTATTGGGAAATCTGCCTTGAAACCATGTTATTTTTTATTGTATTATCTTTGCCTTGTTTGACAAATGTCGTGAATTACTGTAAAATCATTGTTTTGGAAGGGAAAGATAATCATTTATGAGAAACAAAGGCATGTTTAATGTAAACGCTCTTTCCTATGACTTCAGAGGAAATAAAAAGTAAAAATCACAATCAAGACTTACTTAGGAGCTTTCTTAGATGACGAGCAGGTCTGTCTATCGTACTGAAGGAAGAGTTACACCCAAAAGGTGTTGGGAAGAAATGGACACCAATGATAAGCATTCGGTGTTGTTTAAAAAGTCTTTCCCTTGGGAGTCATGGACCCAAACGCTACCCAAAAGTTAGCAAAAGTTACTGGTGAAAAAACATTCTTGCAGCATCCTCATTTAATTGGCACAAAATAACTGTATCAGATGATCATTTATATTAGAGTAGGTAGAAGAGTGGCTGCCCAAAGACCTCCATGCAAATGAATCATCACTCTCTTACTGGGCTTGGAGATAGCTTCAATGTATAAAAATGGTGATTAAAATGTAACTTTATAAAAATGTTTCATTTTCCCTTTTGTTTTTTAAAAAAAGTTTACTATCTACAGAAACAAAAAAATCTTTATATTTACATCAAGATAACTATTCATGACAAATATAATAATATGAAATAAAATATTGAAAGTGAGTATCAACTTTTTAAATAGAGGTTTGGCTCACAGCATAAACAAGTGTAGATAAACAAATAAACCAAAAAAAAAAGACTTTCAATAATAGGCCCAGTCCCCCCAAACCCTTCCATACTCTTCCCTGCCAAAAGCAGCGTGACAATGGGCCAGATTGCAGATAGAAGCTACCCCATCACACAGCGTGTGGAATACCACCACAGGGTGGGTCAGTGGGCCCTTTGCCACCCAAAAGCCAATCTTCAACAGCTGCCGGGAATCGGGCTTTCCCTGTGTCAGCCAATACCAAACCCTAGTTTGAAAGTCTCCCCATTCATCTCTCACATGGTTTCTGTTTGCCTTCCTTTCTTTTTCTGTTTTCTACCAGGCACAGTTTGTAGCAGATTAAGACATGGGGATCACCGTGAAGAGCAATTCCCAGGTCTTCTCTGGAAAACCTTTTAGAATTCTCACCTGATGAAAAGACTGGACTCTAGCTTATTCCTAGGTGTTTATGCATAAAGAATGCCATCCCCTTAATAGTGATTTGATCTTAGGTGAGTGAAAAGCATACTCGCCGACAAACAGCCCTGACACATGCATTAGGCCAGTAGATTGGAAAATGCCTCAGTCTTCCACGTTTAAGGCTGGTGATGAAGAGCCTCCAAGCGGTGTTTAGCAGCAGTACCCATCACGTGGCCCTCTCACCCAGCCCGTGAACACCCCTCCCTCTGCAGAGGGACCTTTATTGAAGCTAAATGGAGGAAGGCATTGGGAATGGCTGCCTCTCAAAGACACTCCAAAGCGAACTTCCCTCCGTTTGTTCACATGTGTTGAGTCATCTGCTGGTGGAATTCTATAAATTACTAACCACAAAAATCTCTCTTTACAGACACATTAACATCCATACCCACAAACACCCCATCAGTTCTCTCTCTCTCTAACAGACACACACACACACACACACACACACACACACACACACACACAATGTTGGTAGGGTGTACAAGAATTCAAATAATTCTCTGGAACGTTCATTCCTCAATCCTAAGAGCAAAAGCTTCTTAGTTGTAACCTACATTGACTGCCCGGTTCCCTGCTAAGCCTCACCATTTCCTTTGTTTTCCTTTATTTTTTCTTTTTACGATTTATTATATCACAGTGACCACTATATATCTTAATATGAATGTTACTAAAACGTGGAGCCAGTACTTCTGGCTTTCAGTGTGTATGTGTGTTGTGTGTGTGTGAATATATTTTACATGTATCTATGTGAGAGCTTATATACACACACACATATATATTTCTTCCTTTAAAAAAAAAATCTTTAGAAGCTGGTATTGCAACGTGAAAGCTTCTCTGAGCAAGAGTTTTTAACCTTGTACCTCACTGTAAAAATAAACACATACAATGCGAAGACGCCCCAAATGCAATGGCCATTTGCTCATCTTCTCGTATTTCTACAGTGTTGTGTCTAAGTGTTGTGCTGGCTTGGAAAGAGTCTGTGACAAGTCACTGGGTTTCGAGGCAGAGCTCGTTCTATCCACTGTCACTGGTTTGGCTGTGGGGTGAGGGTCTCCTCTTCTCTCGGCTTCCCCTTTTCTTCTTCTTCTTCCCTGATGGCCTGGATGTGTTCTGAGGAGTGCTGTTGGGGAGACTGGTCCGGGGACTGGCTTTCGATTCCCGCCAACCGCTGCTCCTCTTCAATGACTTTCTTCCACATCGTGTGGTTCTGCACGAGGTGCTGGGTTATTTGGCAGCAGATTTTCCTCCTTTTGAAAGTTTTCTTTCCTGAGAAAACACCAAATTAGACTACTTATTTGTGTGCTGAATACAACAGTTATTCCTTTTCACATGATTTATAGGAATTAAGTACCAAATGGACACAGATATCTATCACTGGACTTGTGTCTGGTAATAATGTCATTTCCAGAACGGGGAGAGAAGAGGGAGATGGCGGTCACCATTACGATAGCATTGAGACAGGGCTCTGAATGGCAGTTGATATTTGGGAATGTCAATACAAGGTTCTTTGTATTGGTAGCTTGGTATTACGCCCACTCCTTCAGACTCTCAAGACTTTTCACCAAAAGACGACTAACTTAACTTCTTGCTATGTCTTCCTTTACTTTGTCAACCACTTCAACTCACAAGAGTCCACACAATTGATTTCTTTAAAGAGGGTTTTGATGTTCCTGCTCTGCTTCCTGTGCACTAATACATTAATTTCAAACTCCTCTCAAAGTTTTCCCACAAGCTGACACAAACACACTTTTGCAGTCTTCCTCCATCTGCAGGCTGGTTTGTATCTGCACTTACCTGCTCTCTTTTCTGTATATACACTGAACACTTCTACTTTCTAGCTGGTACAGCCCCTCCTTCTGAAATGCTCTTCTCAGTCACTGAAAGTTCATGTCCATTTATTATTTTGAGATCCAGTCACATTCATTGAATTCCTCTTCTAAGTAAAATCTTTCAATCTCTCTCTTAAACTCTCTTGTCACTCTATATATGCTTCTCATAGTAGATAGTAGTTTTTTTTTTAATTTCTCATTATCATTATCTCTTTTTCTGATAACTACATATCCAAAATCATTTAGGGAGAGTGACACTTTCTTTCAGTTACATAGTTCTGGAAAAGGCGATCAAATTCAACTTCCCCACCCACCTCCGACAACATAGCTGTGTCCTAGTGATTGGCCAGTGCACAGGTATGGAACCTAATTCAGGCCTATCAGAGTCCTTCCTGGGACTTTTACTATTGGTGCAACGTGAGCATGAGGTCTGGGAGTCAGGATTGGAGATCTTTTCTTCTCGGCTAATGTATTTGAAATGAAGTTAACATAGAGCAAGACTGAGAGAACAAGTCGCTAGGCAGATGAGTCAGAGATAAGAACAGGAGCAAGTAAGCTCTAATACCAGCCAACATTATGTTTACATGAACCAATAATTTCCCTTTTGTATATATTCATTTGATTAAAGTTTTGCCACTTGTATCAAAAACAATGTCCTAAATCCTCGAAGGCACTTACCTTATTCTCATAGATTCCGGTTCCTTTATTAGACTACAGCCTCTCTGAGGGAGCCTTGTGAAGACCTGCACAGATCTTATACATGGCAAGGCTCAGCAAATATGCATTTCATAAATAAACAGATTATATTTACTTGTGTCCAAACAATTTAACGTTCTCAATATAGAAGAACTGAAGACAATTTTCATAGAATTGCATGTCTTGATTGAAGAAATAAAATTAGTTTCAAGGGAAGAAACATAAGATGCTTTAAATAATTTGCCTTGGTGTCATAATTTACTATTTAGGCTTCTAATTCCTTATGTATTTATTCAGCACCTAATCTGTACTACGTGCGCCACTGTCTGGTGATTCACTGATAGGCGAGATAGATATAATACCTGCCAGCATGGAGCTTTTACTCTAGTGGGGATATATAGAGTGAACAAGTCACTACAATTATATTGAGTTTTATAAAGTCTTTGAAAGGTAGCAGACTCAGAGGGAAATGTCTCACCTGGAGGATTCTGCATGATGACGGTGGCTTGGACTAAGATGGGGGTAATGAAAATGAAGATAGATGAATGTGGGACATATTTGTGAAGCTCACTCAATACGACTTTGGCAACTGATTAGATGTAGGAAATAAGAGGGAGGAATCAAAGACAACCCTAAACTGTCTGGCCGGAGCAGCTGAGTAGATGGGGATATGATGTCCTGAGAAAGGGAGCATCAGATGAGGAGCAGATTTGAGGGGTATATTGAACATAAAGTGTCGGAGAGACCTACAAGAAGAGGGGTAAAGTAAGCAGCTGACCTTGAGCTGAGAAGAGAGGGCTGTTCTGTTCTAAGCTTCCAGAATATAATGTAACTCTCAGTATTTTCATCTGGGTGACCATTTTAGACTCAGGTGAAGAATTTATAAATTAGGCTAAATCCTACCATTAGATTGTAAGCTTCCCTATGGAAAGAAGCAATTCCCCCCTTTTGTGTGTATATCCACAAAGCTCCAGCCTTTTGTAAGTATTCAATAGAAGTTTAGCAAATGAATCATGTTCTCTCTAGTTTCTGTTCCACAGCTGCAAGTAAATGATGAAGTATTGATAAGTGATAAAAATGGTATAATGATTTGAAAAAGCGGTCCACAGGAAATTCCGATCTTCTTGAGACTATAGCAAAGAGTTACCAGTACAAGTTATCACATGTTCAGATATTTGGGTTTCCTTAATGAAGTGGTAATGATTTATAATGTATAATCTGGAAGAAAGAAGAAGAAAAAGAGTAGGAAGAAGAAAAGGAGGAAGAGGAGGAGGAGGAGGAGGAGGAGGAGGAGGAGAAAACAGTAACAATAGCAAAAAAGAAAAAATGAAAAAGTCAATTGCTATGAGATGTGCCAAAGGAACTAGCTGTCTTGGAGGTCCTACACCAGAATTTTTGTGGAAGTGCTAATGATTGCTACAATGGTTTTATTTTAATATACCACTGGAATATTTTGTGCTTTATAGGACAAGATCAATTTTTAAAACACAGTTCAGAAACAAGACATGAAATAAAAAATAATCTTGAATTACTTTTGAACCATATAGACACATAACAAACCTGGTTAAATGGTTAAATGGATACAGGCAGTCTTAAGCAAGAATTAAAAAATATATATTTACTTTACTCATTATTTTATTTGTGAAATGGACCCATCAATCAAACTTATATTGACCACCTACTAACTGACAGACAGTTTCCTGGATGCTATGGAAACAATGACCAATTTGCCTCAGAGCTTGTATAATCTATAGGCCAGAAAGCCAAGAAGACAAAAAATAAAATACACATGCAATATTTTATAACAGACATACTCATGTGACCAAGATGGCTTTAATGTTCCCCTCAGCTTGAATAAACTTTAGACAGGTTTTTTTCAAGTTTTATAAAATAAATATTCTAAGAAAAGGGAGGTGAGCTTCAAACTGCTAATTCTTTATCTGACCCCTTGTAATCTCTCTCTCTCTCTATATATATAAAGAGGTAATATGCTAATTGGTCCTAGCGGTGTCACAGTCATGACCACTAAGGAGGAGGCTGCCTGCGTGTGTGCGGCGGGGCATTGCTCCTAGAGACGGGGTGAAGCCGGGAGGCACCCGGAGGAGGCTCGTGCCTGGGAGGGCGGGGGTGAGAGCTCGTAGTGCCCCCTCACCAGTCCTTCGCCACCCACAGCTTGCACTCAGAGCGCCCCACCGCTCGCCTGCCTGAGGAAGGAGCACAGCACAGCAGGTGAGAGGTTTCCACGCTTCCCTCCAGCGCCATGACGAGGGGGAGCTGTCACGTTGCTCCAGAGATGGGGCAAAAGCAGGGAGGTGCCTGGAGAAGGTGGAACCAGCCCGAGGCGACTCGAGGGACTGAGGGCAGGGCTTGAAGCGGCCAGAGAAGGCCAGAGGGGTCGGGGGGCTGGGCCAGGTGCGCTGGAGCTCTGTGTGGAGAGGTTCGGGTGTCAAAGCAGGGCAGCGGGTGTGTGTGCAGGCCGCGCGATTTCACGTGCTGGGCTCCTAGTATATATATATTTCCCAGCCTCTAGCCAGTTTTACAATTTGAACATCATCTCAAGGATCTGAGAGCCTAACTTCCATAAGCACCAGTTAGCAAACACACATGGCCTACGTGAGCAACTCCCTCTAAGGTCCTCCATCCTCTGTCACTAGTTCATCCCAGCCCTTAAAAACTCCCCTGCCTTTGTTTCAAGGGAGGCCAGTTCCATTTTTCCTCCTTATTGCAATGGTCTTGAATAATGTCTTCCTTGCCATTTTTGACAAGTGTGTAGTACAGTTTATTTCTGACATGTCAAACCATAGTGAATGAAAGACTCAACCTGTGGGGAAACAGGTAAGCTTTTTTTTCAAAGGAAATGACACCTTTGAATGAGATGTAAATGATGAGACTTAATACACTGGGTGAAGAAGGGGCTGGTAGCATTCTGGGCAGAATGAGGGGCATGTGTACGGGCCTGAAGCATGACATAGATTTCTTCATTTGAAAGCTTCTCAGCAAGGGAGATTCATTAATAATAAAATAGATGAATATATTAGATTTTAACAAGCAAATCTCTAAAATACTCTCCTACCAAAGCCATTTACTTGTCTATTTCTACTTTGTTTATGTTGTAGTTAAATACAAATCAGTTCCCGCTGAGACATTTTAAAAGGTTAGCATACTTTCTATGCTAACCTTTCGAATCAAGAGAGCTACAGATGGCCACTGGCTGCAGCACAGACTTGCATCACGGTCAGAGGAAACACTCTACCACGCAGGGTGATTACTCCATCCGAAATTTATACACATTCATGGCAGGGCATTCACAGGGAAGGAGCTAACACAAAGCTCAACTTTTTCCCTTTCCTTTCAGGTCAGCCCCCATGAGAGCAGCTGATCTCTTATTAATGCTGTTGAACATGAGCAATAAACCTCTCTGGAATTAAACTGAACGAGGTGACGTAGAAGCAAGTTTGTACCAAATACATTTGCGTAGATTAGAGTCTGCAGGTGGTCTAAAACATGCTTGTATCGGGAGCCAAATTGTTCGGCACTGGAACCTCTTGAAAGGAGAACAAAGAGCCTTTCATTGCTCAAATTCTAAATGCAGCTTAGTACTTCATTAGAAACCTCTTAGTTCGCTGCAGGAATCTTTCAGATTTAATTATGAGGTAGGAAAAAGCCTCCTTTCCCTAGGATACCATATTGAAACATTTTATTCTATGTTTCCTGGGAGGTCTCCAAGTTTTGCAAATTGCTGAAGTTATCAGTGCATATTTAATTTCAGTCTAAGTTTCAGGCTAAATCCAGTTAACCATCAGAGTCAACATGAATTCTGAAATTAAAATGACAAGAGGGAATAGCCATGGAGTTAAACATAAGGAGACTTGGAATTCCTTTCCGATTCTGCAGAAAACATCTACACCTTGGAATGTTACTTAAATTTTTGAGCCTCCGTTTAGTCTTTTGTAAAAGGAGGCAGCTAAACTAGATGATCACCAGTTCTCCTCCCATTTCTAAAATTCCACTATGTCTCGTCTTTCTCTGACTGCCTTACTATATGTGGAATCTAATGAACAAAATAAACTGATGAACAAAGTAGATCCAGAGACATAGAAGCATGGAACAGGCTGTCGAATCTCAGAGGGAAGGCAGGGGTGGGTAGGTGGGTGAGTGGGGAGAGATCAACCAAAGAACTTGTATGCATATATGCATAACCCATGGACACAGACAACAGTGTGATGAAGGCCTGGGGCAGGGTGGGATTCGGGTGGAGGAAGGCAGGAGAAATAGCAAAGAGCCTTTGTTGAGAATATTTCACCACATGAAGAAAAATAATCTGTTTTTATAGTTAATTAAATGGATTAGATTGGGTACACTGTGCAGTCCAAATCAATGACCAGATGTGAGCACTTCTCCTTGTCCCTCTTGCCACTCAGTCCAAAGCCACAGATACCTCTCATTTGGGCAATTTCAACAGCCTCTTAACTCATCCCATTTGCTCAGACCCCTTTTCCTACCCCAAACTCAATAATTTACTCAATACGGCAGCTGAAACAATGCAGTTGAAATGGGAGCTGAATCAACAAACACTTCTGCTCAAAACCTCTGATGGCTTCCCAACTCAGGCAGAGTAAAAGCCGAACTCCATACTGTGGCCTAAGAGCCCTACCTTCAAACCTCACTTCATACAGCCCCCACTCTCTTTCCTGCTGCTCTCCCACCCCTTCTCCTCTGCTTCAGCCACCCAGCTCTCCTGATGCTCCTTGAACACGCAGCCGAGCCCACCTCTGCCCACCTCAGACCTTTACACGGCTGCTTTCCCCTCCCCTTGGAATGTTCTTCTTATCTCTATCTTTATGAGTTACTCCTGCACTTTTTTCAGGTCTGTAAAAAATTTTAAACATCTGTCTTTTTTATTTATACCTTCCATGGCCACCTTATTTAAATTTTAACATTTTAATTTCGTATCCCCTTACCTTTCAAAAAATTTTAACATTTACCAGTACCTAACATGCTTTGATTTACTGATTATCTTGCTTAATGTCCGCTGACCCACTGGAATGAAAGTCTAAAAGGGCAAGGATATATTTATTCTTTTGTCTGATTTGTTCACAGCTCTGTCTTCAGTACCTGGAAGAATGGCCGCCATAGCGTAGGTACTCAGTAAATATCTGCTGAATGAGTGATTACCATCTCTCACTGCTTTACATGGTCTCCCTCTTACCAACCCAATAAAAGCCTATAGTTTCTGTAGATGGTACCTGATATCCCTTTTATCCCAAAATCATTAAGATACTCTGAAGAATAGGCTTCAACTATTTAATTTTTAATTTTTTTTTACTTCATGACAGAGAACATGTCTTTGTGTAAACATGGTATTATTATAGATCCCATAACCTGTAGTTTCTCTTTTTATGAGATTTAAGGGGGTTTTCCATAATCAAATGCAGCAGATGATATTGGGACTCAAAAGTATATAATTCATAAAAGGCAGATGATTCATCTGAACCTAGAAAAAGATTTTATAACTTACTTGGAGATTCACTATTTTCATAGGTTTCCTCTTCATTTGGTGCTTCTTCTTCCTCCTCCTCTTCTTCTGGGTCATCGGTATCTCCTGACTCATCACTGCCTTCCACCCATTTCCCTGGCATCAGTCCGGCTGAGTCATAGGAGTTGCACAGAGGACCCACAATGTGAGAGATGAAGGATTCCTGAAGGTTGGCCAGCTGGGGAGCAGAACGGTCCATGAAGGGGCTTATTGGTAACCCAAGGCTGGCCTCTTCGTCACCCTAAAAACAGGAAGTTATCAGGAAAGGGAAGTTTAAAATACAAGTCAAGTCAACATTTGCTTAGCATCTAAAATTTGCAAATACGCAAGAACCCAGATATCCATGTGTGAATTCCCTCTTTATTGCTAAGAGATTCCCCCCCAAAGATACCACTCTTTTGATCTTGAGGCTTTGGCTTTTGATCAAGGGGATCTATATAAGAAATGGTTTAATGTCTCAGCAGATGATATTTCTTATCACATTAGTCAGTGTGCCTTATATACATATATCATAAAAACCAAATCTGGAAATAATTATCAAGCAAATACATAATCTATCATGTTTTCCTTTTTTTTTTTTTTTGCCTTGGCTACCAGAAATGTTAAAATATGATATTGTTCAATTAAAGTTGCTACCTTATCCTAGCTTTTGGTTGAATTGTATCTTCTGTGATTATATGATGTCTATATTCTTATTTACTATTTATATAATAGGACCATTCTATACATGTTTGTCTTTTGAACAGTTTCAAATCTTTCTGGAGAAAAATCAGATTGTCAACCAGAAAGAAATATACTAATATATCAACAATGTTTATGACAATATAGTGGGAATTACTATAAGCAAATTTTCCTTTTTCTTTAGAGTTTTCCTGTATTTCAATATTTCAGGATTATGAATTAACCTCATTCCTAGGAGAGGCAGTACAATATTTTCTAGAAGCACAAACCTTTTATCGTACATATGAATCTTGTGAATAATACCTGTAAAAGTTCTTTCTAATCTCTCTAAATATGTCCAGACAATTTATTACTTGTTAAGGTGTCTCATCCTATTTTCGGATGCTGTTAGTAATGCGAATTTTTTTCTGGCATTCACCTGAAATCTATCACCTCATAACTTCTATAAACTGGTTATATTCATACCCTTTTTAGGGAAGCAGAGAGGAATCTAATGTTTCTTATAAATCAGATTCTGTGTCAAGTACTTCATATAATATATCTTCTTTAATCTCCACAACTACTTCATGGTAAACCTAATCCTAAATTTGTATGTCAGTCTGTTAAGTATCTGAAGATAGTTACTATATCACTTCTATTCCCCCCCCCCCGATTAATATCTTCACTTCCTTTATGTCTTCATGTGCTTTTATGTCACTGATCCCTGTACTTTACCCAGGCTCCACTACCTCCAGATTCATCTTAAGAGACTGATTCACAATACTCAATACAAAATTTCCAGTATAATCTGGTCTGTGGAGGGTAATTCAGGGAAGACCACTCATGTTTACATTTTGGTGGTAGTTTTTTGGTAGTGTGCTAAACCTCACATTAACATGTCAAATAAAATGCTTGTTTTTTTTAAAAAAAATATTTTATTGATTTTTTACAGAGAGGAAGGGAGAGGGATAGCGAGTTAGAAAAATCGATGAGAGAGAAACATCGATCAGCTGCCTCCTGCACACCCCCTACTGGGGATGTGCCCACAACCAAGGTACATGCCCTTGACCAGAATCGAACCTGGGACCCTTTTCAGTTCACAGGCCGATGCTCTATCCACTAAGCCAAACCAGTTAGGGCAAAAAATGCCTGTTTTTTAAGCCTTTTCATACACTGTGGTTCTTAACTCTATTAGAAAAGTAAACTTAATCTGGTATATATTCATATATTTAAACTAAAATTGGCTTCTATTATAATGAATTTGTAAAAGGACAATATTTCAGTGGTCTTTCCAATTACTTTAACATCTCTCAAAATACTTGCAAATAACTTTATCTTAGAGTTTTTATGGTTATAATTTAGTCCATTTTTGGTCATCTTTTTAATCCTGTGATTAAAATTGGCCAATGCATTTTCTAATGTTAGGGTGAATATGAAATAGATTTATCACACTCAAAGCTTTTGGAAACTTTGCAGAATTTATGAGCAGCCTAAGCATGGATGAAATCACTTACCTGTTCATAAAATTCACTGACAATACCCTCTGTCCACTGAAGATGGAGCTCTTTACATTTAGCTGGCCCATTGATATCAGCCAGCTTTATACACATTTGGCAAACTAGTAGACGATCATTTTCATTGGTCCAATCTATTCCAACCTCATCGTTTACCTGTTTGAGAAACAAAGATGGATGTGTTTTACCTCAAGGAAAGCAAAAGTTGACCAGGAGAATAAACAATACAATATTTATTGTTTTTCTATCATGTTGAGATCAGAATGCCAAGTGATGAGAATTTTTTCAGCTAATTAAAATAATGTTACTGCCTTGTATAAATTAATAGTAAAATAGTTTATAAAAATAAAATAACAAATGACGACTAATTATTAATTATGCAGTTGAAAATAAATGCTATTTAAAATTAGCATGTTATCTATTACTATTAAAGTAATGTAGCTACAAACAAGAAATTTTCTTGAATTAACATTTGAGCATTTATGTTTGACATATGAAATATTGCTTCAGGGTTTTGACTTTTCTACTGCCACATTACTTATGTTTGTATACCACAGACATGGGAGCAAATTAAGTCAAACAAAAACACATGACAGAATTTCATTATTTCCCTGTATCACAAAATAAAATATAGACAGCATCTCAATGTCTCAAGTTCCTAGATTGGGACCAATGACTATTTATCTGCTTCTAGTTAAACATTTTATTGAATTTCATTTTCACATTGGACATATAAGAGGTGATAGCAATGACTCTTGTTCAATACTTCAGTTCCATGACATCTTTCAGTGTGGCCATGAAATGAAGACTGGTACAAATCTAGTTACCTTGGCATTAAATTTGGCTACAAAGTCAAAGTGTTTCTTCAAGTCAGTGGCCAAAATTGCTTCAATGACAAGGAAACGGAAATGCTTAAATTCCACATGGTCAAGGTTAACTAAGAAGTTGTACTCTGGCCGGGACATGAAAAGGTTCCATGCAGCAGCTGCGTGATGATTCTCCAGAACTGAGCGATCATTGTAGAGCACCGCCTAGGCAAACAAGCGAGAGAGGGAAGAGTTCAATTTTTTAAGTTAAAAAATATTACAAAAACAGACGAGAATATGCAATGCGTTTGGAATTTTCTGTTTTCATGGAACACAAAAATGTAGTCTTGTGACTGCTGGTTATTAAGAATCACTGATTGCTGCACATTGGCTGTTGATTACTCTTTTTGGTTAAATTTCATTCTTTCTTTTTCGGTAAAATAAAGGTAATGTACTTGAAACTTTATTCCAAACACTTCCAAGTGAGGGGCTTAGTGCTAGATTTTATTAGATTTCTTTGCAGGACACAGGAATTTAACCATAAAAATATGCAAATGTATTAATATACCCGAGAGGCAACTCAGCTATTTTTGCATCTAGAATAAGAATGGCCTCCTCTTAGTTAAAGATATAACTAATAAAGAGGAATCAAGTCCATGATTTAAAACATTCTCACCCCATGATCAACCATAGGAACTATCACCCTTTATCTAGTAATTGAAGGTAACAGTATCTACTTGTTTGCAATTTTTTAATAATGCTCAGAAAAGGCCCAGAAGAAGAGGAAGTTGCCTAAAAAATGCTTGAAGACAGTGTGATAGAGGATAGAAAACAAAAGGCATTAGGACAGAAGGACATTATTACTAAGGTATAAAAATAGGACAATTTGAATAGTAAGAGGCAAGAGGATTTGCATGACTATACAAAAAATAATGCTTCTGCTCAAAGGACACATTGAAATAAGTTAAAGTAGGTAGTCAGGAAAAAAAGCAACAGAATGTTTTTATTGTATATAGAGTAAAAGAAAATTCTAGACTATAAAACAGGAAGACGTTTACTGAGTTTAATTGAATAGCTAATGATAATTAGATACTTAGTGATTAATTTTGACTTACATGTAAATATATGCTAAGGATGTGCTTCTTTCAAGTTACCATTTAGGAAGGCTAGGTTCAGGAAAAAATTTCCCTCAAATGAAATAAATTTATTTTTAATTCCGACTAACCAATAAAATACCTTACAAATCATAATTGTTATAATAAAAATATATTTCAAAGGAATGAGATTTATATACAAAGAAGCCTTGCATTCTTAAAAGTCCAAAAAGATTTGGTTCTCTAATCTTTTCAGAAAGGGACTTCTGTACAAGTTGGATTTTGTTGAGGAAGTTCATAAACATGAATTCAAGTAGTTTTCCTTCCTTAGGAAAAAACTAAGAAGAGATTTCCATGGGTAATCAAGTTGCATACCTGCCATGAATAACTTGGAACAAATCACATTATCTTTTCAAAGCTGGCATGATCTCTAAGAACTTTATGTCAGGGCCAAATATACTTCGGCTTATATTTATTTGGTGCCTATTATAAATCAAATTTAAAACAATGATTTTTTTTTTCAGAGAAATCTCTCAATTGAATTATTTCTCGTAATCAAAATAGAGTTACCTGAGGAGCACTAGTTGCAACCAGGAATGCGTTAGTCCTTCCTGGGTGGTCATAGTCATGCATGGCTGCAGCCACATACAGTGCCATCAACTCTAAGGCAGGAATATTTCCAGACAGACATCCATATTTATCGTCTGGCACATTGTACATTTTTGAGAATACATATCCCATGTGTCCATGTGTAAATCCACTGTCAGAATCTGAAAAGAAAAGATGAAAGTAATAGAGATTTTGAACAAGAATTAAATGATATCATTTATCTTGACCTCCTAAAAAAAGGTACTCTATTGTTCCCATAGCTCACAAGGGAGCACAGATGTCCTTAGCACGTACCTGAATCACTTGCTGATCCATGATCATTAATCACAGTTGAGAGGCCAGGAATAGGTTGTGTAGTAAGATACCAAACAGCATGTAAGACGTCAGTAGCATGGATTCTGTTATGATCTATATAACCAATGCAAAGGAACAGTCATTCATTTGTGAACTTTGGGGTCCAAGGACTAAGAGTGCCATCTACTGGATAAATAGTTTAGTCCGAACATTTTAATATCCCAATGAATGCCAGCCAAACATTCTAGGAAAAATACTCTTTGATTACTCTTCCATTATTCTATAATATCTATAGTAACAAGAACCCCGCCCCCTCCCACAAACCACTCAATATTCTTTATGTGTGCAGATGTCTGAAGTATAAAAATCTATATCCAGAGCGTACTAGAAACCTAATATATATAGGAAACTCACTATGTGAAACAACTGTAATGCTTACTCTCATACTTATTTCCATGCTCCTGTATAAGACTGGGCAGTAGATTAAAGAAAGACCCATGACATACTTCAACTGGTCAGACCAATGGTCTATACCACTCAATATTTCATCTCTGATAAATTGCATCCAAATATGATCTGTGAATAGAATATAGCAGTATTCTTTTGTAATCAAACTTAAAATACTATAATAAGAGTGAATCCACAAAGCAAAATTAAAAACCAAAATCAGTAATATTCTCTGATCTAGAAATTCTGATTTGGGGATAAAGTTATAGGAAATACCTAAAAAGAAAAATAAATATGTCTTTGTACAGTAATGTAGGGAGTTAGGCCATTTAGAAGAATAAAAACTACGGGGAAACCAGAATTTAATAATGTCATTATCAAAGGAAGGGAGGGATCTATTTCATATGTACAGTTCAGCTTCTGTTGAACGGTGAACAAAGGCCCAGTGCTCTCTTTGCTTGCCTTCTTTTTCTGGTGCAATTCTTCTAAGTTTTCTCTTGTTTATCTAGCCCTCATGATGCTTCATTGATTGGTATGCTTTATTATAAATGTACTTACTTTACACATTTTATTTTTGCTGACTAACCATGATACAGTGTCCTTCTCCAATACAATCATACACCATCTAATGCCGGGGATCTGTTCTAAGAAATGCATCGCTAGGCAATTTTGTCATTGGGAGCATCATAGCGGGCACTTACACAAACCTAGATGTATACCTACTACACACCTAGACTGTATGGTATGCCACCGTCATAAAGGTAGTCTGTCATTGACCAAAATGTTGCTATGTGGCATATGACTATATAATATACTAGAAGCCCAGTGTGCGAAATCGCGTGGCCTGCCCACCCGCGCAGCCTGGCTGTGCTCACAGCCCCACCCACCTGCGTGCACCTCACCAGGCTCACAGCCCCGCCCATGCGCACCGGTCTTTGGTCATTATGGCGTTAGGGCCACTGGGTTTTTATAATATAGATTACATCTCTGAGTAATATTGAACAGATGAGGAGAAAACAGAAGAGAACAGAAATGTTAATGGGAATTTGAGAGAAAGACCTGTCCCCTGGTCAAAGAAGAAAGAAGAAACCATGACATCTGTGGTGTTGGCAGCACACAGGGGATGTAGGTAGATGGTGCCTATTTCCTACAATTCTGGCAACTCTTGGAGTAAATCTTTAGGTGACGTGGGTAATTCAGTTGAGGGGCTGGGTGAGTGCTTGAGAAATGTCTTGATAAAAGCTTTGATAGTACAATTGTGAGAATTAGAGAAGGAAACATATTTATTTTTATTTTTTTGTGATTCCTCACCTGAGGATATTTTTCTATTGATTTTTAGAGAGTGGAAGGGAGGGAGAGAGACACACACAGAGAGAAATTTCAATGTGAGAGAGACACATGGATCATCTGCCTCCTGCACCACCCCCGGCCAGGGATCCAGCCTCAACCAAGGTACGTGCTTTTGAATGGGAATCGAACCAGTGACCCTTCAGTCCGCAGGCCAATGCTCTATCCACAACTGCTAGGACATATTTTATTTTGTTATATTTTTAATCCTCAGCTGAGGATATGCTTTTATTCATTTTAGAGAGAGAGGAAGGGAGGGAGGGGAGAGAGAGGGAGAGGAAGAGGGAAAGAGAGAAAGAGAGTGAGAGAGAGAGAAAGGGAGAGAGAGAGACATCGATGTGAGAGAGAAACACTGCTGTCCGATTGCCTCCTATATGGGACAATGCTCCAATCAACTGAGTCACTTGGCCAGGGCCGGAATGCATCTTAAGAGTATATGATATAGTAAGCTTGTAATTAATGTAAATATCATTCAGATAAAACAAATTATTGCTGTTAGAACAAATGGTGAATTAGCACAGATCACCAGTTTTCTCTCGATGATTCCTGAGAATATAATGACAAAGTTAAAATAAGAGCTATGCTAAGTCCTTGAGGAGGGAGAAGGCAGTGATGACCCCGTAGAGGAAGAAGATGGCCTCTGGGCAGAGGGTGCCATGGTTAGGGGATGAGTTGGGAGAGACCTTCTGAGAGTTCTTCCTGTTGCAAGCTGGGAAAATGACCGTGAACAAGTAATTACCATCACTATTGCTAGTCAAGGAAACTTGTGCATGCACCCAAAATTGCAGAGTGGAAGGGGGCAGTAGTGGGGTATTGGTGGAGCTTGTTTGAGTTGAGAGATAGACAAAATCAGGTACAGGGGAACTATTTTAAAATCTAGATTCTTTAAATTTTGGTAAGGGTTCTGGGTAAATATTTAAAAGTTTTCATATTTTCTTTCTTGGAAAAAATTTTAAAGTATACTTAAAAGTAAAATAAAATTTAGTTTCTAAAATTTTAGGTCATTGTCATATTAAAGTTAATTTAACTCTATTTTGGTTACTCAGGCTTTTTTCATTTAGTTATGGATTTATTTAGCCAGAGTTGTTAGAAATCTAGTTCTCTAGCAGTAAATATTTAAAAAGTAGACATACAACAAAATTTTATGTGTGACCATTATAATTAATGATACACAATGCTTTTGTTTAGTATAGATTTACAACCCTTCCACATGCAAGGTACTATTATTTAAACGTGATCACCAACCAAGCTAAAACTTTCTTGTGAGAAGATATAATTTCCCTTCATGAAAAGTGGGGCTTCTAATAGGACAAGCAGGTTTATTATAACAAATTCTTTTCACATAGAATGAAGAACCCACTATTTCAGAAAAAAACAACTATTTACTTATAACATATAAACATGTAATAAGAAAGTGTAAAAATTAATTTAAAAATTTAGGATTTAGAAACTTCTTTTTCCACTTAAGTATTTGTCAACTTTCCCTACAACTTAGTGGTATTCTACCTATAGAAATGTTAGTAATCATTATGTCAATTGCTCACTGGAACTTGCCTGTAGTGGACTATATCACAAAACTATATTTGGGAATATGACATTAATTTGTAAAGTTAGTCTGGTAACTAGCTGTCATTTAGTGTTTTTGGTGGCTTCCTTTCTATAAAAGTGTATTTATGTAACTACTAGGTTCTTAGCCTTTGAGAAATCACTAACTCATGTCAATCACTGGCATCCAACCAGGGTGGGCCTTGGAAATATTATTAAGAAAGCAAGACTTATCTTGAGATCCTTTCAAACTACCCCTTTCTCATTTCTCTCTTCCAACTTCATAGCCCATTGACCAGACTTTCCCAAAGGGCCCAGTGCTCTTAAGCTCCTCTCTCTCATACTCCCACGGCTCGTCTCTCGCCTAATCCCACAAATGTAATTTGTAGGTTTGATTCTTCATTCTCCTTTGCTATCACACATCATCAGCTGTGCATTTTCATTCCAATGTAGTATGTGCATGGCATCTTGAAAAGCGATCCTTTAATAATGGGTCACTAAGTCAATGTATACCAGTTTCTGGAAATACCTGTGCTTTATCCTCTCCATATAACTTTTATTTATTTCAGCTCTTTGTAACTACAAAAAGACATGGGTTCTAAAGTCCAAGGTACATAGAAGCAAATTTAAAACTTAAAAGTTAAAATATGATTTAAACAACATATTTCTAAGGCATGTTCCAACCCATATATTACGTTTGACTATTTTTCTTGCTACGCATTTATTTTCTAAAAGTACCACATGCTTTCTACACATTTCCACAACCTCACTAATTAGATTTATGGACATTTTCTCCAGTTTCATGTAGCTTTTAGCATGTAGGACAATTTTACTTACGTGTTCTGATGCTACCTGATATGCTACATATTAAAACAATATAATTTAACATCTCCTTTGTGTTCCAATGTATTATGATTGTAAATGACAAACTTTCTCTCAGAATATTCAAAGTTCATAAGCTTGAACACTGGCTGTATCCTTTCCTTGGGTCTTCCAATTTATTTCATTTAAAAAAATGTTTCTAATAACTTCTCCACAACTACTTCCAGATGTTTCTTCTTTTCTAGTTTATTACTTAGACCATCATCCTACCTTCCTTCTACCCCAAACCAGGTTTACCTTACATGGAAAAACTTCAATAGTTAGTGATTTAACTCTGCAGCTCCCAGAACAAAAGTTGAATTCAGTCAACGAAAGGCATACATTGGAAAACAAGTAATACATTGAACATTTAATGATTTATTTAGCATACATTTAAGTGGCACTTACTATATGTAAGGCACTATTATAATTGTTTTAGAGGTATTACCTCATTTTATCCTCATACTAATTCTATGAAGCAGGTATTATGATCCCATTATACAGATTAAGAAATGAGGCATGCAGAGGGTAAAAAAGACCCAGGCTCTCCTACAGGTGATAAGTGAAGAGTCCAGGATTTTAACACAGGCTATTATTTCCTAGACTATACCATGTGGCCATAGGGCAAGTTTACAGTACAGTGGGGCCTTGACTTACGAGTGTCCCGACTAACGAGTTTTTCGAGGTACAAGCCGTCTCTCAGCCGATTTTTTGCTTTGAGTTGCGAGCTAAAATTTGGGTTACGAGCCAGCTTCAGATACCCCACCGCTAGTTGGCACAGCGAACGTCACAGTGAATGCCACAACATCAGCCCAGCATCACGTGTCTCACTCGTTCACTTTTTGATTTGACATACGAGTAATTTGAGTTACGAGCTCCGTCACGGAATGAATTAAACTCGTAAGTCAAGGCCCCACTGTATGTAATTCTGTGCTGGCTGCTAGTGATTCAATATACCATTAACTTTAGCAAATTATATGAATGTTTAAAGTATTATTTCACAAATAACTTAGACTTACAAGGAATTTCCCTGTATCCAATCTCCAAAGCATGAAAGTAATTCATAAATTCCCTAACTGGAATTTTGAAAGCTTCAAAGAGGCCCATGTCTTCAAACAGTCTGTATGATACCTGTAAGACAGAAAGCAAAGCCTTAAAGCACATTCCTGAGTGTGTATTAGACATAAAAAAAAATCATATTATTTATGTCCAATAGAAACAATTATTGGGAACAAGATATAAAATTGATTTTGAAGGCCTCTATGTGCTTAGCCCTTGAAATACCTGAGCACAAGGAGGACATATTTTTAAAGATAGAGACATTCACCCAAAAACAACCAACTCAGAATGCAGTATACACTACAGAAACATATCAAGAAATTAAATTGTATGTAATATCATTAATTGGAGAATAATATTTACTACATTTCTAATTATATAGTACATACTATAAATGTTAATAAAAGAATGAGACAGCTTAAATTTATCCAAATTATATATATATAACTCTCTCTCTCTCTCTCTCTCTCTCTCTCTCTCTCTCTCTCTATATATATATATATATATATGTATATGTGTATATATATATATATATATATACACTTGTATATATCTCTATCTATCTATCTATCTATCTATCTATCATCTATCTATATAAAAGTTTTCCAGAGGATAAAGAATTCAGAGTTGTGCATTAATGAAGGATAAAGAGAAAAAATTATGAAAGAGAAAAGGGTTGCCTTGAGTAAAATATATAGAGAAAAAAAGATTTATTCTATTCAAAATAACAATGTCTAAACTATTTTTTCTAGCTTGCCCTCTTTCTCCTCTGAATAGCTATTCTCCATCCAATTCCTTTCACAGCTCTAGTGACTAAAATTAAGTAAATGCCTTTGGATGTAACTGGCATTTTTGACATGCAAATGAAGAAAAAAGAATAAAGGGGCAGAAGAAGGTATTGGAGAGAGAAGTGGTTATTCTAGTGGCAGAGTGGAATACAACAGCATTTAGAGCAGCCTTACTTCATGTCACAAAGGCACAGTATTGGGTATAATTCAGGAGATTTTCTTCTTAAAATTATCTTGGACTGCTTCCTCTAAAACTTTAATATATGGCTTCATAGATAAATCTTCATCTTTTGTTATTGACTTTAAATCTATTCAAATTCAGTAACAGATTAAAATTATATATTCAATGTTTGTCACTATGTGATATACATATATATATATATATATATATATATATATATATATATATATATGAGATTCATTCATTCAGCATATATCTATTGAGTGCCAACTATTTTCTAGGCAGTTTGTTATATACGTGGCGTGTGTGTGTGTGTGTGTGTGTGTGTGTGTGTGTGTGTATTCCTTCATGGATCTAGTAGGGCAAGGTAGTAGACATAATAAGAAAGGTATATACTTTGACAGAAAGTCATAAGTCATATACAAAAAGAAAAAGGGGATCAGGGACATTTGAGCAAAGAATTAAAGGAAGTGTGAAGTGTGGTACGTGGATATCTAAGGAAAGAGTTGTTCACGTAGAGTAAAAGCCAATGCAAAGGCCCCGAGGTACACAAGGAACAGCAAGAAAGCCAGCATGGATAAAGCAAGAAGGCCAGAATGGAATGAAGGCAGGAGTAGACTTTAAACTGGGATTGGTGCAATCTTGGTGTTTGACAGTCATATTGACCATTATAAGGATTTCACTCTGCATGAGGTAGGGAGCCACTGAAGACAATGAAGCTGGAAAGTAACTTTATTTGACATATGTTTTAAAAGGAGCACTGTAGTTGCTGGTTGGGAACAGAATATAATGTATATCAATTCTATGTGGGTTTTTTTCACTTTGAACAGCAAGCATATTTAATTTTTAGCCTTTTTCTGTGTAATATAACATCCCACTTTCTCTCTTTAAAAAATGCAATAGATTCCTCAAAAAATTAAAAATGGAACTTCCATTTGACCTAGTAATCCCACTTCTAGGAATATATCCCAAGAAAACAGAAACACCAATTAGAAAGGATATATGCACCCCTATGTTCACAGCAGCATAATTTACAATAGCTAAGATTTGGAAACAGCCTAAGTGCCCATCAGCACATGAGTAGATTAGAAAACTGTGGTACATCTACACAATGGAATCTACACTGCTATAAAAAACAAGGAACTCTTACCATTTGCAACAGCATGGATGGAACTAGAGAGCATTACGCTAAGTGAAATAAGCCAGTCAGAGAAAGATAAATATCACATGATAACTCATTTGTGGAATATAATGAACAACATAAACTGATGAACAAAAATAGAACCAGAGATAAAGAAGCATCGAACAGACTGTACAACCTATGAGGGAAGGCGGGGTGTGAGGGGGTCAGAGATTAACCAAAGGACTTGTATGCATGCATATGAGCAAAACCGATGGACACAGACAGTAGAGGGGTGAGGGCTTATGCTTGGGGGTGGGGGTGGCAGGGGAGAGGTCAATGGGGGAAAAAGGAGACTCATGTAATACTTTAAATAATAAAGAATTTAAAAATGCAATAGAAAGTGAAGTTTATGGTTTCTTTAATATTTCAAGCCAATTCTTCTTTTAGTTATTTCCCCTTTACTAATGCTTCATAGAATATTTGAGTTCTTATTTATAAATACCTAATGGATTTATTTCTGCATATTACTTCAATAATAGCACCAATAACAGCTTCTATGTGTATATATACATATATATGTACATATATATACTTATATATTTGGCATTTAATAAGTGAGAAGCCTACTTTAAATAGTTTACATATATTAATTATTTACATGTAATTAATCCTCACACCTTCTGAGATAGATACGATTAATTATTAATATTTGAAAACAGGAGAAACTGAGGCACAGAGAGGTGAGTGACTTGTTTAAGATCACACAGCTGGCACATTATCAGAACCAGAATACAAGCCAAGTCGTTTGGCTTCAGATTTTGTACTTTTAACAGCTTGAAATCCTACCACCAATATTTGAAATGCAATGGTTTTTAAATTAAATTTTCCTATTATTCTTTTTTAACATTTGTAAGATGAATTAAAAAATTAAGACAACAGGATATTTTACAGTGTGATTTTAAAACAGGAGAATTTTCACCAAGGAGCTGCTAAAAATCAATCATCAATAATCCAAACTCATAAATAAACAGCACCATAAACCAGATAGATATTGGTGACTGAAAAAAGTGAGCACCATTCCAAAATCTGAATAATGTCCTTTCAACTTTATTAAAATAAACATGATAACCATAAAAAAGACAGGCAGGCAGTATATTGAGACTGAGAAGTCATTTCCACTACACATATGTCTCTTTTAAAGTCTTTTGAAGTGAGACATTTTCTGTGAAGTTTCAGCCAAAAGGTGATTTCTTGGAATGTTCAAGTTAATTCATTTCAGCTGTCCTAAATTCTTACTAAGGTGAAAAAAATATGCCTTTCACACAGTGAAAATTTCATGATGTTTGTCCTTATAAACTCAAATCAAAGGGGAAAAAACTCCCATAAAGTTCTATTTAGCAGTGCAAATGAAGCAGCAATTCTAAAAAGTTTACCGTTTTGTAAGTTGAAAAAATAATGTGACATAACAAGGATCATGCAGTTACATATTTATTTTATTTTTGAAAGAAGAGTGGAAAATAAGTAATGAATTTTGTCAAAATTGAATTGTTAATCATGTCTAAACTTTCTGTTGGCTACTCATATCCAAGTCAAGATCCACCCTCCCATCCTCCAGCTCACAGAACTTTGAGGGGAGATGGGATGACAGAACTTTGAGGGGAGACGGGATGCTACAGTGATGCCTGGTACACTGTTACTGCTGCTGTCAAACCGGCTGCTCCATTCGAAGAGTTAGAGATATAATAAGTGAGTGTGTCTTATAGGAGGCTAAAAAGCAGTTGAAATAAAGGCTAAAAAGCAGTTGAAATAAAGGTAAAAAGCCCGGACTTCCAATACGATATGTCTGCATTCAAATCATGGATCCAATATGCCCTATATGACTGCAGATGAACAGTATTTCCTCTTTGGAGTCTCAATTTCCTCTTCTGTAAAATAGAGATTGAAAAAAAATTCCTGCATCAGAGTTACTGAGAAAAGTAAACTGTAGAGTTTCGGGGAGTCTGTGATGTATGTATCACATACAAAACAACGGGAGGTTTTTCTCTCCACACCAGGGAACACCGTCCAGTAAAAGGGAGAAGAGCTCCTGGCCCACGGCCACGTTTTTCCGGTGGCACCATGACAGGCATATTTGCAGGAAAAATCACTCCCTCAGAGTCCCAGTCTGCCACGGGTTCAGAAAGTGGAATGCAAAACCTCCCAGGGGGAGCCCTGGTGCATGAGGCTAGGGTGGAGTGAAGAAAAACGGCTGCCCTGAGTACTATTCAGCCTTAAGAAAAGATGAAATACCGCCATTTGTGATAACAGGAAGGGACCATGAGAGTATCATGTTAAGGGAAACAAGCCTGTTGGAAAAAGAACCATATAATGTCACTCGTATGTGGGTTGTAAAACTGAAACTCATAGACACAGACAATAGTATGGTGATTACCAGAAGACAGGAGGGTGGGGGTCAGTGAAGGGTAAAGGGAACAAAATAAACGGGGAGGGAAGATGTTTTGACTTTGGGTAGTGGACACACAATGCAATATATAGATCAGGTATCATAGGAATATACACTTGAAACCTATATAATCTTATTAACCAATGTCACCCCCAATAAAGTTAATTTTAATCATAATTTTTTAATTAAAAAAAGAAAAAAGTCTACCCTAAAGCCTGTCCTTAAGATCAGCTAGCATAAAAAATGTTGCCTAGCTTGAGGAGAAAGGGAGAGAAGAACGGGACTAATAACTCCTAGGAAAAGATTAAGGCCATTTTAGTCCTCAATATGTGCATGGCCATGATGAAGTATAGCAGCGGCAACAATCGCATATTACATAGACTTTGTAATTATTCTGAGTTTCATATTTTATCAATCATTTTTAGGATACTTCTCTTGTCTGTAGCATGCACTGTCATTTAATTTTGACAGACATCTCATGTTCCTGCTAGAACAGGAGTTCCTTTAAGGCAGAAACACATTTTTCTTCTTGAGGACCAGGTTAGTACTTGTTTGTGGAACTGAACAATGGAGGAAAAGGCCCCTCTATCTTCTTCCTTCAAACCTTCATGGATCAGGAATCTTCATCCTGAAGTTCCACACTCAGATATTGGCTGAGAGGTCCAAGCAAAGCCTGTCTCCAATGTGTGAAGTAGAAATCAGTATATAAACTGATTTGTCTTCTGGTGTTTTTCAGGGAATGTTAGTGCAACAATAAATCAGGGTCCTGAATTCTCATCTAAGCCTTATATTAAGGAGTTTGGTAGTCTTTCATATCTCTGCTGTAATCTATAAGAATTTACCTAAGACATTTTAAAATAAGGTAATAAGTGTTATTGCATCATCCCATTTCATATGTGTTCATTAATTGAGTGAATCCATTGTTTTTTTGATTATTGAGAAAATTTTCATTCTTAATTTCTATATTTTTTTCTCCCTCATAGAAACAAATATTTATTTGGGAAAATTTGAAAATAGTCTAGCTTGTGATGCATAAAGGTTGTTTCCAGATTAAAATACAGAGAACGCTCTTTGAATGTGTTTCTCATAGCACTGGAGGGGAAGATATTTATGCATAATATCTTAGTTTTTATAAGATCTAAACACTGTAAAATTAAAAAGCTTAGAAAATAGTCAATGGAAATAATTACAATAAATTAGTGTTTATAAATAGGCAGCTTTCTTTTTTTGAGGGGCTGTGTCAATTTTTCTTCTGCTGAGTTCTATGAATTTTAGATCATTTCTACATCTTGCTTCTATATTCCACCCCAAAATACATATTTTAATTGAAGAATATGGTATTTTACTCATTTGAAGTTCCAATTACTTTTGTTAACCCATGACCACCAAATCTATAGAATGTTGGGTACTAAAATTTCCTTTCTGTACTCACTACTTACCACTGGTATCAAGTGTGTACAGAGCTTTAACCAACCAAGGAATTTTTTTTCTATATTTAAAATCATAGGTATGAATTCATTTCTTACTTGACTAAGAATACGGCCACATTTTCTTCCTATTTTTTCCACCAAATCAAAAATTGGAAAATTCCAAGTATTTAGTTGCTCCATAATTGAGTCCAAGTTATCCATGACAAGAGGTTCAGGAGCAAGAATTGGTTTATCCTGGAATAAAGATGAAAATATTTTAACAATATACAGTTTTTCTATAAAGCAATTCATGCTTTAGTAAGTTCAATGCAACAACTGAGTTTATTTGAAGTAAATGACAATACTTCAGGGTGAATGGGTGATCTTTAAAAAAACATCATGATGAAAAAGACATTGGCCCCTAATTAAGGAGAAATGGTCCTTATGCTGTTTCAGACCATGTTTTGTATTATTAGGTGCCTGCTTGTGCTGGTTCATACATGCTACAGGAAAAGAAAAAAGAAAAGAAAAAAGAAAGATGCGTCTTCCATAAGTTTACATAACTACTGTGGGGTTCCTAAGGAAAGATTCAAGGGCTTCAGAACACTTGGAAATTGCATTAAATTTATCTCTTTATACGTTTATGTAAAATTTTTTGAGATGAACATTCCTAGCTCATATTGGACTCTCAAAAGAAACTCATGAGTGGGGAGGAGGCGTTAATGATCCCTACTAAAATTGGTCAAATTTGTATTACTGCTTCAAAATTAGGGTTAATCCCATGGAATGATAGCCACATTTTTTCAGGATTTTAATTTAATTCATGTGATGTACAGTTTCCAAAGAAACATGTCCCTTACAAATGTATAGACATTTTATAATTGATCCCTAGTGAGGACATTATTAAAAATACATCTATAAAAAAAAAGAAAGATAATGTGGATAAAAAATGTAAATAATTTTGTTTGAAAATCTCTTTGATTTAAAAGTATTAAATGATAAATCAGGTTAAAGAAGAATGATAATAGCAGTAGTTGACAATCACATGACAGCCCACTATTTTCTACCATTTGTTGCCTCCCCCAAATTAACCTGACTCAAATATGCTTTAATCTTTTTTAAATAGATCACTTTAAACACACAAAATAAGTCATTATTAAAGGATATTTTAATGGATAGCAAGTGTCTATGTAAACCTGATTTAATACAAAAAAGAAAACAAATATTGACTCAGTTTCTAAATTAAGGAGGTGCTAGAAACACACACGCACAAAACAACAACAAGCAGATGCCCTAGGACAGTGGTTGGCAAACTGCGGCTTTAAACACACAAAATAAGTCATTATTAAAGGATATTTTAATGGATAGCAAGTGTCTATGTAAACCTGATTTAATACAACCCACACGTGGTATTTTGTGGAAGAGCCACACTCAAGGGGCCAAAGAGCCGCATGTGACTCGCGAGCCAGTTTGCTGACCACTACCCTAGGACAACTAACACATTTCACTTTATTGAATGATTGATATTTATAAAATACTAGAGGCCAGGTGCACTAATTCATGCACCAGTGGAGTCCCTCGGACTGGCCTGTGGGATCGGGCCGAAACCGGCTCTCTGACATCCCCTGAGGGGTCCCAGATTGTAAGAGGGTGTAGGCCAGGTCGAGGGACCCCACTGGTGCATGATGGGGGCCGGGGAGGATTGTGGGAGGGCTCCAGGGCTTGTCTTGCCCATCTTGCTCAGTCCCAATCAGCTGGACCCCAGCAGCAAGCTAACCTACCAGTTGGAGTGTCTGCCCCCTGTGGTCAGTGCACATCATAGAGACTGGTCGACTGTCTGCCCCCTGGTGGTCAGTGCACATTATAGCGAGTGGTTGAGTGGCTTTAGCATATTATGCTTTGATTGGTTGAATGGACGACTGGACACTTAGCATATTAGGCTTTTATTATATAGGATTATTTTACTGAATGAAATAATTCATTTTTCTTATGCATATTTACACTTTAGATTGGGTTAAGAAATAGCTATAATCATTTGTGGAGATGAATACTTATATTTTTATTCACTAAGAAAATAAATTATTAAGAGATAAGACTTAAATAGGGAAAATTATATTCATATATATGGGGAGAGCTATAGTACATCTAAAATCCAAATGAGATATTTCTGTAAACCTAATGCTTCTGGGATCTGTATCTAAGCCAATCTCTATAATAGAGTCCAATTTCTCAGGTCAACAAATGAGATAAGTGATATGGGGCTACCAGGAACATCATGGTCTCAGGCGCGTAGGTGCTACAAGCTGAAGCCTTCCTCAGCGGCTCTGCTGGGCACTCGGTTTCATCTTCATTCTGCACAATATCACTGCTGTCACTGTTGTTATTAGTTTCATAATCAGAGGTAACTTGAGCAGTGTCATCTGGAATTGAAAGAAATCAGCCTGTTAGGAAACTTGTAACCAGAATGGGGTCCCATTTAAGTGAATATTCCTAAAATGCATGTGGTTAATACAGTTTTGAGTTCATGAGCCTTTACACACCAAGAATATAGGATCATATGTATATGTTGGGTGTAGATATATAGAAACATTTTGGACAGCGTTGCACCAAGATTTTACCCATGATTAACTCTAGGTAGTCAAATTATGGATGATTTTGATTTCTTTCATTGTCTTTTAAAATTTCTCATCTAAATCATCCGGAACATTTCATTTGTGATCAGAAGAAAGTAAAGCAATTTCCTTTTTGAGGAAGAGAATGCAAATAAAGAATTACCCGTTCTGCTTGGTGTCCGAATGGCTGTACCACTGCTCTCCAGGGGCCCGTCAGCAGGATTGCCTTGGGAATATGGCCTGCCACAGCTGAGAAATATTGGAACAGCTGTAAGTATATCTTCTTTTCAAAAAAATCACAGGCATACACCAGCTATCTATATTGATAGATAGCAATAATCAAATATTTCTACCTTCTACTTGTTTGAGGGGGAAAGTCATTTGGTTTTATACATGGATGCTGATATACAGTATATTTTCTTTCTTGTGAGAACATGATCAATACAAAAGATCAGAAGCTTCATTTGACTCTCATCCTTTTCCATAGTCTAGACCATATTGGAAGTGAAACTACCAGCAAAATTTTGTTACATTATTCAGAGAATCCTGGGATAGTCTGCTACCTCCTTATAGTAATGGTTTTGGAGATGTCAATGTGTATTTGGTCAAAAATATCTTCCCCAATAGAATCCCTCTGGGCCTATGTAAAAACCTCACTATTAGATTTATTTTAATGGCTGAAGACATTTTATGTCCAAAGAGCCCTTTAAAAAAAGATTGCACATGTGGAAATAAAATAACAATATAGGAATTTTTTTTTGCCTCCAAAATTTATTATCTATTTATTTATTTATTTATTTATTTATTTATTTTGCAGATGGATCAATTACCTGTTAAGGCCCTAAGGAAATGATGAAGGTTGAATGTAAAACAATAGCATAGGATTCAAGTTGAGAAAAACAAACCAAGGAAGTACATTGTGGGTAACAGAAAAAGAAGATATCTGAGAGGTGGTACCTTAAACTGAGGAGGTTGGAGGATATAGGATACTTTTGCTTTCTCAACCATTTTGACTGTATTATAAATTAAAAAATAACCTCACAAATGGCCTGGCAAATTTACCCTCTCACTCATCTTGTTTAGAGACTTCATGGTTAGATTGTAATTCTGTATTTTGCTTCTGAGTTCCTTCCTTTTGCCTAATAGTACAAAGGGTCTCAGAGGGCTTCTGTTTGTTATTTAACCACAGATTCACTCTAAAAATAAAAGAAGTGAGTGATAGTTTATAATTTAATATAATTAATATCTCATCACCCCCCCCCATTGTGCTTATACGAGTGATACAGATAAACACTTTCTAGTTAGACAGTCTTTTCATCCTAACTTAATTTACTTTTTGAGCCTTGAAGGTAAGTGGAAAAACATCGCACTCAAAATATTTCTAATTATGAAATCCCATCAGGGAATCAAAAGAAAATGACAGGGCCAAAGGAAAAAGAAAGTAGATGCCAATGATGTGCTTACATTGTCCAGTGAAACTTAGTAGAAGCAGCGTTTATTAGTTTTAAATTTTTCATTGCAAGATAATACTTAAAAGGAACATTTAAATTAGTAGTTCAAACATACTACCTTTTATGCCAAAAAAACAGCTTGTTGCATAGACATTACAGCAGCCAAGAGACTGGGAAGCAACGCCAAACCCTTCGAGTTCAGCAGGGGAAACCACAATAATTAGTCGTGTGTTTCTGGAGCTCTCTGGGCCTACATGGGTGGCTGCCTTGAAGGCAATAATAAAACATGGTTTGAATTATAGATTTATAAAGCCCAAACAAATAAAACACACACTACTGGATTTATAAACATTACTGAACAAGTAGGCAGTGAAATTGCCTTGTTTTTCTCCAAAAGCTTTTTTTATAAAAATCCCATTACATTCTTCCTGCTAGGAATACAATAAATAGACTGGGATGAGAAAAGCTATGTGAGCGGTAGATCTTTCCTGGCCATCTCTCTCTCTCCCTTCTTTAGGTGACTTATACCACACGAATCTGGAGGCCACAGCAGATGTCCTTGATGCTGATATTGCACTGGGCTTCTTCTTGGCTTAGGATGCATACCCCCAAAATGTTTCTGAAGGGTGCTCCACCAAACACTAGCTCCGTGGGCAATTATTGGGTGTTAACCTAATGAAATTGGTTCTGTGGTTAAATAAACAGACAATTCTAGATGAAACAAAAATCAAGAGGTTTTCCTTTTGCAGAATGTCTCAGAACTTTTGATAAAGTCATGAATGTCATGAATGTTGTGAATCACTAAAAGGGGAATATGTATGTTTTACCACAGATCATGCCTTTTTTTTTTGTAGGGGGAAAAGATTGGATTAGTATCCTACAGAAATTATTTTATTTAAAAAGCTGTCATAGCCCTAACCGGTTTGGCTCAGTGGATAGAGCGTCAGCCTAGGGACTAAAGGATCCCAGGTTCTATTCCAGTCAAGGGCATGTACCTTGGTTGCAGGCATATCCCCAGTGGGGGGTGTGCAGGAGGCAGCTGATTGATGTTTCTCTCTCATCGATGTTTCTCTCTATCCCTCTCCCTTCCTCTCTGTAAAAAATCAATAAAATATATTTAAAAAAATAAATAAAAAGCTGTCATAGAGAAGGCGGCTGAATAACTTTTGGTCAGTAGAATCACTTTTTATTTTGGCCATGGCCAAACAAACAAACAAAAAATGTTTTTTCCCTATAAAAATATTTATAAAGAGAAAGGAAATAAAAATAAAGGTTAGAAAAAACATTCATTTAATATAGAGTTTATAAACAAAGGATCTGAATATGAAATTTGTGAAGCTCCAAACTGAAAATATTGATCAAATCTGGGTCTGTGAAACATGTGATATTAGAAGACCAACATGTAACTAATCTATTCAAACAGTTATACTCATGAACCTTAGAAAAGAAGTAGCATGTTATTCAAGACACTCCTGTGATTATACTTAGTTTAAAAACATTCAACTCTTTTCAACTGAAAGAAATATTGTAAAGCTTTAAGCTCAATGGTTCAAGATGAAGCTATTTCTGAAGAACAACACTGTGTTAACCCGTAAGAGGAGGTATTTCTGTCTTAGTGACAATGTTGGCAAAATAATTACTCTTGCCATGCTAGGCCCTTATTTTCTAACCCTCTAGGAAAAGACAACACTTTGCAAGTCTATTTCAACATGGTAGATCAGCACAAGCAATTGCTTATTTGCATTCTGAGAGCCCGGTGTTATTTGCACATTTTTAAAGTGTTAAAATGGGAATTGCAAACTTAACATAAAATGCCTTTAAAAATCAGTATAAAACCCTCCCTGAAGAAGAATTAAAAAAAAATATTCCAACATAATATCAAACTATATTAAATTACCTGACATGGTTTTTAAAAACATATGCTTTATGTATGTTCTATCAGTAAGCAGACAAAATATACAACTAATTATTGCATCTCTCAAGATTAGCTGTACGGCCCATATGGACTCTAAACTTTCTATTAGTAGAAGACCACTGAAAAATTAAGTTTCTATTATACCTTATTCGACACAGATCACATTATCCTATACTTCCTTATCAACTACTCTGGCAAACATACACATAGCTATGTGGACTGCCGGTGAGTGTTCCTAAGAGGAGAAGTAGTACTGGTTTCCTTATAAAACTCCAGCTAACAACGTACAATTCTTACCCGCTACATATGACAGGTGGCGTCAGTATCTGAGGAGACAGGTCAGGGGCACTCTGAGTGTAAGTTAAGGCCCTGTGCGAACCTAGGCCCGGTTTGGCAGTTGTGTCGGCAGATTCTAGAAACTGAACTGTAGGAATTTTGCTGACTGGACTGCTGGCCGGAGTCCCTTGGAGAGGTGAGGAACAGGGCGATGAAAGAGGTGAAATTTTAGCGAGGGCACCTGAGAAGAAAAGAAATCATTAAGTCACAAGACATGTCTTTGGAATTCAAACCTGGACTCCTTTGAACTCACTAAAGGCCCCAGGAGTACTTGGGCCCGGCAGGCCTCCCCTGCATGCCACCAGCTGGAGACGGGGTGGACGGGGTGGACGGGGTGTATGGACAGTGGGAGTATCTTTACAGCATGAGATGAAAGGAATGAAAGGAATGAATCATTGTGAAGACAATTGGTGGCAATGTTGGCAAATCCAGTGAAAGCCTTGGTGGCCTGGAGTACAGAAGAATATTATTTTTGTTTCTTCTTGTCATTCTAACATGATGTTAATGGTTAACATTTTCTCATATGTTTGCCTTCTCTTCTGCTGTGAAGTTTTTAGCAGCAAGAAGATCGGGAATTATTTTAAATATTAACATGTCTGGAGCAGGGTTTGGCAGGCATACAATGCTTAAAATATGTAAATAAAGAAGATACATTCATCAGAGGCATTTAACTTTATTAACCATGGGTGTTTTCAGCAAAATGACTAGTTTGGGTGTGAAATTACTTTGATCAGAATAATTTCTGAAGGAGACATTTAAAAATGTAATATGCTCCCTTTCCAATCAAACAATAGGCCTGAAGTTTAAACTTTAAGTGTGGGTGTTTGTGGCAAACTGTTTACTCCCGGTTGTGAGAATTTTACAGAACACTGAATTAGATTTCCAATGTTTGAGTACAGGGGCAATGTCTTTTGAATTTCCTCTCTCATGTAGGGAAAGCAGCCCATGTTAAAACTGAAGAAAAGAGAGAAATAGCTTCTGAACAACTACCTGTTTACTGATGCTGAACAATCTACTGTACAGCAAATGAAATGAAATCATTAAAAGTTGTTTCCGATTTCTCACCACTCCGGGGAAATGTACAGCCAGCAGCTCTCACATCATAATATGTGTGGTGAACTGGCAGCTGGCTTAGTCGGCTTCCCATGTTTAGTTCTCCCAAATGTTTTGTTGGTCACACCCACAGTTTTCTTGGCCCACTGGAAGGAATACGAAGCTTGCTGAAGTGCCTTTGTAATTAAGTTTTTTTGTTTTGTTATTTCTTTTGTTTTAATGTCATAATCTTCCTTTGATTCAGTGTGGAGGCCTGCAACCCCTCCTGGTCCTTTTCTCAATATTTCTATTGTTGATTCCTGATCAAGAGAACCCTGGCCTTTATACCTAACTGAAACCTCATAGGCCCAGAGAGGTAAAATAACTTTCCCAGGGTCACAGTGATAGTCAACAGGAGAATATGGAGTGGGGACAGTTATTCTTGTAAAAGGTGGCTTTTTGGCCACTTCTGTCAGAGGTTGCCCATGGGAGAATGCATTTCTTACTAGGCAGCATTTGTATTGCTCTGTACAATGACAAGCTTTACGGTTTTAATTTTGATTTCTACTTCTAGTGAAAAGGCTTAGCTATTTTAGCAAAGATATTGACAACCCTTTATATCACATCATCTCTTAAGCCAAAAGAAAATTAAGTTCACTACATATTTATCTCAGTTTCTCAACCAACCTATCATTGGGTGCAGCAAGTGTGTTACAGATACCTGCGAAGTATTAATGGTTGTAAATTTTTTTTTTTAAAAAAAGACGTTAGCCGAAACCGGTTTGGCTCAGTGGATAGAGCGTCGGCCTGCGGACTGAAAGGTCCCAGGTTCAATTCCGGTCAAGGGCATGTACCTGGGTTGTGGGCACATCCCCAGTAGGAGATGTGCAGGAGGCAGCTGATCGATGCTTCTCTCTCATCGATGTTTCTATCTCTCTCCCTTCCTCTCTGTAAAAAATCAATAAATATATTAAAAAAAAAAGAGACTTTATTTGGAGGTCCCAGAAGAAATTTAGTTTTTAATATTATCTCTAATATTAGATTTATATTGTAAATTATATTAAAATCTAATGTAATTAGATTTTATTATAGTTTTAGAAAATGCAGGAAATAAAATTTTCAACAAGCTCTAAATCCCTTCTCACTTCTCCCCTGCTATATAACATCGTATTCACATTATTACACATATGTATATGTATGCTCTGTTTTTTTTTAAAAAGGCTGAAAACGACTAGTTTAATTTAGACTATTTGTTAGATTACAGCTGACTGAGTCACCGGATATATTAGAAAAAAGCATGATAAGCATTAAGGAGCTGGATGGGGTGTGACGTATTATAAAGGTTACAAATTAGCTCAATGATTTGTCGCAGTGGTTCTCAACTTTCCTAATGCTGTGACCCTTTAATACAGTTCTTCATGTTGTGGTGACCCCCAATTTCATTGTTACAAATTGAACATAATTAAAGCATAGTGATTAATCACAAAAACAATATGTAATTATATATGTGTTTTCCGATGGTCTTAGACGACCCCTGTGAAAGGGTCGTTCGACCCCCAAAGGGGTCGTGACCCACAGGTTGAGAACCACTGAAAAGGAATAATGACTGTGTGCCCTGTTCCAGGGGCTAAGGAGGCAGTAGTGAACACAAAATGCTCTATTCTTATGGAGTGTCCACTTTATTGTGGGGAAACAAAAATTAAGAAGAAGAAGAAAAGGCCTTAGAAGAAGAGGAGGAGGGAGAAAAGGGGAAGGAAGGAAAAAGAAGGTTAAGAAAAAAAAAAGGAAGAGGTATAGGAGGAAAAGGAAGAAAAGAAAGTCAGGCAGTTTTAAGTAATAGAAAGAAAAATAATGCGGGTGTAGAGGACAGAGGACAGAAATGCTCTCAGTGTAAAATTTCAACAGAGATCTAAATGTCTATTTAGACAAGCACCTGGGGAAGCATGTTCTAGAAAGAGGGACCTACCAGAGGATCAGTGTGGCTTCAGCTTAGCAAGGAGGAAGAAGAGGGGCAGGGAACATGGCCAGAGAGGTTGCTGGGTAAGATGGTACAGAGCTGCGGGCCAAGGCAAGGGTTTAATTGCGGTCTTAAAAAAAAAGAGACTCCTGATAGGCATTGCCTTAGACCAGTGGTTCTCAACCTTCTGGCCCTTTAAATACAGTTCCTCATGTTGTGACCCAACCATAAAATTATTTTCGTTGCTACTTCATAACTGTAATGTTGCTACTGTTATGAATCATAATGTAAATATCTGATATGCAGGATGGTCTTAGGCGACCCCTGTGAAAGGGTCGTTCGACCGCCAAAGAGGTCGCGACCCACAGGTTGAGAACCGCTGCCTTAGACATTTCCTTCATTATTTTGCTAGGTAGTTGTGAGTTTTTTGACAAGTTTCTGCCACTTTTTTACAAAGCCCGTGGAAACATTGCACATTTCTGTTTTGACACAGCGTACTCTCTGAAGGTCATTTACGAGAAGAGTGATTTTTTTTTCATTGCTAATTTTTAGTAGATGCCAGCTGATGTTCTCAGAGAAATGAAATTCTCTCTTAAAAATCCACTCAACGATTAGAGTTCTTAGAACTCATGGATTAACTAAACTTAAAAAAAAATAAGCAGACCTTAAGACTCCACATTTACTGCCTGGGATGAAATTTAAAATAAACCTTGAAACAGAGGAGAAGCACTTTGCTTCTGCAGAGCTGAGAGTCTATGTATTTTGAATATAGCTAACAAGCAAGAGTCTTGGCAGCAACCCTGAAAAACAGGGATATTTTTATTCTGTAGGTGAGAAGATAAGGTATAAACATATAAATTCCTTTGTTCCCCAAATCGAACTACCATTTCTCACAGTGCGCATTATCTTAGTTTACTTAAAGCTTTAAAAACAGAAAGAGAACGCCATAGGAAATGGGCCCATGTTTACATATTAGTTTTCAAGTAGATAGAAAGATATAAGGGCAGATAAAAACCAAATAACCTTTTTAGAAAGGAAAGACTACAAATGAAATTATATCAGACACAGAAACTGGATACTCCAAGGAAATGGGAGAAAGACCCTTTTTTTTAAGTTTTCAAGAAAAGATTGTTTTTTAAGGTAGTTTATGTGTAATCGGGTGTAATGTTAGTGAACTTTATAACATTTGAAATCTCATCCACCTTTATGTTGCACACTCACACATTTATACACACAACCTGGTGAAGGGATTCCGATAAATATGTATTCATTCAAATATGCTTTTCTTCATTTATATTTCAGTAATTTTAAGAGACTCCAGAAAAGAGACATATTAGCTCATGAACTACAAATCCTTGAGTAACTGAAACTGGTCTAATGTGAAATACTTAAAACATTAAAAAATAAAAAAAAACTTAAGATACAACTTTAAAAAATTCTAAAATGCCAGGTCCTTTGAGTAATTCAGTCTGTAATTTCTTGCTCCCAAGAGCATGAAAAAATGTGTGTCAAGACACAAGGAACTTTGGGCAACCAAAGGGAGATGATAAACAATACTGGAAGGAAATCGTTTAAGTGAATCCATCTGTTTTGTGCTGTAAAACTCTCTCAGCTTAATTTTAATTGAACAAGAAAGGAACCAGCATGTCTGATAAATACACGCCTCTTTTCCCTGCCCACAGGCAAATGGACAATCCTAATAGTTTTCCAAAACAGAACATGTATCTAAACTATAGAGAATGCAAAAATAAAATCACAAAGTCATAATTTAAGTTATCTCTCATTTCATATTTTCTATAGGGAAAACTCAGTCTAGCTTACTTTAATGATTACAGAAAGATCTTATAAAATTTAATCTTTATAAGATCTAATTCTTATAAAATTCTTATAATCTTAATGATTACAGGAAGATCTGTAATCATTAAAATAAGATTATAAGAATTTATAAGAACTATAAGAATCTGGGAAGGGACTACTACAAGCGCACTAAGTATGAAATCAGAGGAATTCTAAAGGCTCATTAATGGCATAATGGCAGCTCTACATTGTCAGTGACTCATAAATAGAAAAGCAAGATTGAAAATGCAAGTCATATTTCAATCTCCTATTTTATGCTTTAATCAAGACTCATGTGATTTCACCCATTTATTTTATAATAGTAACTAAATAACTGGTTGTGTTTCAACTATTTAAATCAATGCTGACTGATCAAGCTAGAGGACACACTGTTGAAAGGATTTGTGCAAAGCACAGATTTCATTAGTCCCCTCTAAAAACAGCTCACTTATTTTTCAGTGGTTTTATTTTCTACTTTTTGCTTGCATTCTCCTACCTCTTTTGCTTATTGGTTGGTATTTTCCTCCTTAGACTCTATTCACACTTTGATTCTATTTCCTTACATTCTTTGCCACATAAAGGGACTTTACCAGGTCCCTTTCCACATAGTTTAGTTAAAAGCAGCCGGCGTCACAGTCAGTCATATCAAACATAACACACCTAGTTAGCTCAATCAACCCAATACCATCATTAAAAGCAAACAAGGGTTTCAAAGCAGAAGGACCCATCTGATCAGGGAGAACTGTAATTGAATTTCAGGTCTCTGATTCTTGATGGATTTTTTTCCCCTTTTGGCAGACTCGCAGGAATTTTAGTTGAATCAAGCATGCTTAATACATAGGCTATTTTATAAACATTTAGCTCTGCTGTGATAGCAGTCTAGAGATGCCACAATGCAAAGTCCTCTCCAAAGTAATCAGGATAGAGATACCTTATGCACTTTATGCCAAGAATGGAAAGAGACTTTTGCCTTGGTTGTGGCTCTAATTTCTACCATCTGTCTTTGCAATATCTTACATGGGCATTCTTTTCCTTTGGCACTTTGCCCTTTCTCATTGAGAGCAGTCATATGAATTGGGGAGCAGGACACAGGAAGATGAGGCTGTTCCTCATGCCTGTTCCCTCATCTGTTCTGTTACAGTGAAATCACTAGCCATAACTTTCAGCTTCCTTTTCTCCCTTTTTACCGAGGTAAAATTGACATGTAACAATATATTAGTTCAGGTATACAACATAATGGTTCAATTTCACCTTCTTGAGTTTATCATGTTGGTTACTGTGATTTTAATTTTATTACCTAAATGAAGAACATGAGAGACAGAAAACCAAATCCTTCCATTATCTTGTACTCAGTCAAGGGCAGTGCCAAAAGATTTTAATTTTAAATTGCCTCAATTTGTTGTTTTCAATTTTTTTCTAGTATAAAATCATTAAGACAAAATAGAGAATTTAGGATGAATTATGTGAGCTCGGGCAATTTACTTAACATTTCTGTGTCTCAGTTTCCTCATCTGAATCCACTTCCTGAGCTACCCAAAATGTAGAACACTTCATATTTCATTTTTTGAGTAACATATTATTGTCCAATATTTTAATTCTATCTTTAAAAAATACCCACAAATCTGGAAATGCTATTATTTATGCATATGATGTTTGTTTGATGGACTCATGGTTTTCAAATTTATTTATTCACCATTTTTATTACATCTTAGACTTCCCTGCTATCACTTTTATTTCTAGACTTCATCCATCATAAGTTCTTGTAGTTAAAATTTGGTAGTTGGTAAAATTTTGACTTATCAGAAAATGTCTTTAGTTCACTCCTATTCTTGTGAGATAGATTTGACAGACACACAATTATAGGTTGACTATTAGATTCTCTCGGAACTTTGAATAAAATATTCTGTGTTCTGATGCTCTTTATTCCAGGAAGTTCTGCTCTCAGACTGACTGCTCTTCTGGAAAAGGTTATTTGACTTTATCTGGCTGACTTTAAATTTTATTTTTGATGCTGTGTAGTTTCACCATTTTGTGTCCATGTGTGAATTTTTTCCCCCTTTACTCCACTTTTCTTCAGAGTTTATGTCCCCTGTTCTCTACTACAACTATGATCATCTAATTAGAAAGTCTAATTTTTTTCTTATATTCTTTAAAATCTTTTACATTTTCCAGTTTCTCATTTATGTTGCACTCTGGGTAGTTTCTTCACATTTTCTGCCTCCCCGTTTATTAATTTTCCCTTGAATACTATATTACGTCACTTAACATATCGTATTACCTTGCTTATATTTTTAAAAGTTATGTTTAGATGACCTTCATTGATATCTTCTCCCATTGCTGTTATTTTTATAACCTTGTATTTTTCTTTTTAATATTTTAAAATTAAATGAAAATTTTTAGCATTTAAATATCTCCACCCTTTTAGAGATCTGTAAAGTTATTTTTCTTTCCTTTTTCTCTAACTCATGTTTCTTGCGTGCTTAGTGATCTTGGTTGCAAGTTCTGATTTGTATGAATTTGATATGTTGAAATCATATGGCCCTTACCTGGTGATGCTTTCCTTCAAAAATTATTTGCACATATTTTTATAGGGAGCCTAGGGGTCCTCCTGACCTATGGTCACTTTAGTACTTTTTAAAAGTCTCAGGTTTAATGTGAAATGCTCACATCCAGTTCCTTCACCTTGCTGGAGTCCCACCTGAGTCTCCACAACACTGAGCTAATCTGTATCTGCCCTAAGGGCAACTCAATTTAAGTATCTTCCCACTTTGCCTGCTCCTGGCCTAGGTGAAAGCTCAAGTCTATTTCTCAGTCATATGACCTATAAGATTTAATGAACATTTTCAAAGAGCAGAGAGGACCTGATTAGTTTTTGGAAAACCAAATAACCTTTACTGGTTTCACTCAGTGATGCAATTCCAATAAAAGTATACTTGCTGGAGAAAGTGCCTTCCTAACACCAAACAGTAGAGATTTAAGCAACGTTGGTGCTTAAATGGTTTCAAGAAACAGTCACCAATATAAAGGGGGTAATCAAAGGGAAAGAAATCACTAAATTTTCTTTCTAGATGTAAAAACAGACAACAGAAATGCTTCCTTAATTTGTGTTTCTTATACTTAAGAGTATATTTCAAGTTGGTCTCTTGAAATATCAGTGGGATGTGAGTACTACTTTTCTAACTCTCATAAAAACATTGTCATTTTGAGAACTTCTGCTTCTGGCTATGATTCTGTAGTTTGTAGTAAATTCCAGTTGCTTTGACAACCAATAGAAATGCTGAATTTAAAAGAAAAAACCTTTCAAGGTGAGACAACGAATGTGGAGGACTAGGTTTCTAGAAAGAAGAGATCCTTAGCAGTGTGACTAAAATCCCATGAACAGTTCTTCCTTTCAGAGCATTATTTACTAACAATTAGCATGGAGCAAAAGGCTGAGAACCCAGGCAGCAGGAGGCAGCAATTAGGAAAACAAGCCAGCAGAGCTATTAGCAATGTCATGAGGCTGATGACACAAAAATTGGAGTTTGGGGCTATCAAGGCAGGCAGAGTTTGAATGTCTTAACAGCCCAGTGAGAAGGGGGTGGTGAGTGACATAAGTAAGAATTTCTTGGAAAAATTATAATATGTATAGTAAATAAAGCATTTCTTCAAGCTCCTATAAATATCATACTTCTGAAAAATAAGTTTCTTTGAATAGCCACTAAGAATAAAATTGAATTTTCATAAGTACATTATTAGCTCTGATATTATAAAATGATGCTTCAAGAGATTATTTTCAATGGTGAGAGTGATTTCCTATTCATCCAATATGTTCAAGGTAGAATATCTGGTATAGCAACCTTGAAAGCATCCGTTTCATCATATAAAGTGGAAAATTTGGGTAATTAGTTGGTTATTGAGGTTTTTTCTTTCTAGAAGAGTCAAACCAAATATACCCATGTGCAGAGCATCCTCTGAATCTTATTTAAACACTTAAGGCTTAGCTCTCTCGGTGACTGCACGCTCAGTGAATAGGAACTCTTCTCCCAGCAAGTCACTTACCTGGGCGACTTGGCTTTTTAGCCTTTACATAGTTAGCTGCAGAAACGGCATAGGACGAACTGAAGGATCTGCTTTTGGTGAGGGTCATCATCGCAGGGTTATTCCAAGAATCGGAACTAGCAGCACTATAAAGACAGAGCATAAAGAAAAAGAAGTAAGTTGTTCATCAACCATTGGGGCAGAACTTGCCAAAACCCAACCATCATTTCCATATTAGACTTGCCATCTGAGTCATGGTCCAGGTTCAGTGACCGGATCACCTTGTCCAAATGACAAAATAGGACAACTAAGCTCAATCTCTGCTGTGTGGATTTAGAAGTCACTCATCAAGCATATGGGTTAACAAAAGCGCAAAGATAACTTTCCTACTTATTCAATTAATAGGAACCAAACACCTCTTTCTACTTATAGAATCATGTCCCTCATAGGTTTCCTAACAACTTGGCAAATTAACTAGTTAAGATGCAGAGGGACTTACATGAATTGAGTTCTTTATTATTTATCATTCTTGGTATATCTAAATAAAAAAATTAAATGCTTGTAAAATCATTCAAAAATAATATTTTTGCAATATTTCCTTGGGAAGGAAAAGGTCAGCTACAGGGATTTAGCCTACAATTTTTTTTCCTGGTGACACCCTGGGAAAAAAAGGATGATGATCAAAATCTCCTTGTAAACATGCGAATGATGAACCTGCTTCCAAACACACTGATGCTATTTGCTAGATGAAAGGTAACAGACAGTGAGCTTCATTTAGGGAATGCTTTCTGCAGGATAGCCTTCGTTTGTCTAGGTTATTATTGTAAATAAATCTGGAATTAGTAATCTATCGGTAGAATAGAGAATGTTACATAGAGATGTAATTAATGGGATCTATATTTTGGAGATGTTCCAAACCAAAACTTAATCTGCATGCATTGCTCAAAACACAATGTAAGCCTAATTATCTGATGCTAATCCCTGTGCTGCTCTGCATTTAAACCATGCCTACACTTTTTTCATTTCCAAAGCTGGCCTCCAACCAACTCTAATTGGTTGGGCCTCCCTTCCCCTGTAATTTACAATTCCTGTTTGACAAGTAACTTCTCTAAGAGATGTGAAAAGAATAGGAGCATTGCTTACCTTGGTAAAGGTGCTTCATGCAGTTTGATGCTGGCGCTGCGATCCCGCCGTACTGGGGCCGGCTCCAAAGTGGGTAGACCTGTGGCTGAGGTGGTGGTTGTCCAAGTCGATGAAACTCGTCTCAACAAACCGGGGGGCAAGCTCCTTCTCAGGCGCTAGGAAGGAGGAGAGTAGATTTTATTTTATTACCAAGCATATTTTCTATCACCAACCTCAATGTCATATAATGGGGGAAAATGGCTTTTACTTGGAAGCAAATTTATTAAACTATATTGGTTGACTATCACCTGTCTAAAATGTGGGTACTCAGATATGCAATAAAAGACTGTGGTCAAAAGAAATGAATACTATAAAATAACATTTTGAAATATTCACTTCAATGATTACACAAATATAGGATTATTGGAATGATAGTCAACTACTTTTGAGGTAATTTTATAGTTTTATTAGTTCAACAGAATTTATATACCTATACTCACATGTCATTTTAGTTATTATGAGCAAAAGATTTCCCTCAAAAGTCACTTGTTTGGGGGCATGAATTAATTGATATCATCTTGCACAACAGTCTCTACACCAAAGTGTTTATTAATTTACTTTTAATTTCTTGACGTACAAATGACAGGACATAAGAGTAAAAGAGTGGCCCTAGAAGGTTTGGCTCAGTGGATAGACCACCGACCTGCAAACTGAAAGGTCCCAGGTTCAATTCTGGTCAAGGGCACATATCTGGGTTGCAGGCTCGATCCCCAGTGGGGAGTGTGCAGGAGGCAGCCAATCAATGATTCTCTCTCATCATTGATATTTCTATCTCTCTTTCCCTCTCCCTTCCTCTCTAAAACCAATAAAAAATATATTTAAATAAAAAGAGTAAGAGTGTAACATAAAATGCACCACCTCTTTGTGGTTAATGTTACTTAGACCTCAGGCCTATGGGTAATGTCATCAGTACCAATTCCTCCTAGTAGGAGACTTTTCTGGTTGACCTGCAACTTTCTCTTTATTATTTCTTCTCCTTTCATATCCTCAGTGGGGTATGTGGCATCATCAGCACTGAGGCAAGATTCTGAGCTCACTAGGATGAGCACCAGTATGGTAAAGAGGGCCTTCATCTTAAAAATGAAAGTGGAGGTATTCTGCTACAACTGCAGCAACTGTTACCATAGGTAGGAGCTCAAACCATTGGTCAATAGACCAATCATGGAAGCACAGTTTATAAAGATGCAGTCTGCTCTCCTGAGGATTTAGAAATTTCTGAGAAGTGAAGTATATACCTCTGATACTAAGTAGTTCTCCATGCCTCTTAAAGATCTTAATTTGTATCTCAGAAGGTAATTCAATAGCAAGACAAAAGGTCACGCATTGTAAATACTAGGATTGTTGCCTATAAATCTGTCACTGACTTCATATCTATTTTGAGAGCCAAAGGAATCAGTTAATCTCTCTCCGTGCCATGTCATGCTGAGCCATACCTTTCTCAGAGAAGTAGATGTTGGAAGGAAACTATGCAAACAGCTAATTGACAAAGTTGTATAAAGAACACATTCCTGAGCCAAGAGACACAACAGCAAGAGCTTGCATGTTACTGATTGATCACCAGTTCAAGAGAATGGCTGCTGGCTTCCCAAATAGATAACGGTGCAGGAGGTACCAGGGACCACTTAAGTTCTGACTTATTTATTATTTTTAGTCTTTAATACGGCTTGTTCTCAACTAATGTGAGGTCTAAACCAAGTTTAGGACTTATTCCCTATAGCTTTACTTCTATAAAATTCTTAGTATAACTTACATGTAAAAAGAAAAAAAATTATACAAAACATGAAGACCATTTTTTACTTTAAATAATCCAAAATCAACTAAAACTGTTCTGAGTTCAAATCTTACTGGGTTTGGGAAAGCCATCAGGGTACAATGAAGGATACCATACTAAGAATGCAAAGAGTGAAGAAACTGTGTGTTTCAGAGGCAATGGATTTTACACAGAAGCCACACTAGAATGGGACCAGGGACTTGTTGTTATTGTTGTTCTGCCATGACCTTATCCCACTCAACAGGGCCTGGCATATAGAAGTAAAAACTTCTTGAAAGTCTGAATAAAAAAAGGTAACATAAAATTTTATTTTACAGAAAGCAATCAAGTATAAGGACAGAAGACTTCACGTTAAACTTTCATTACTCTGGTCACCATAATCAAGACATTTCACTGAGACACTGACTTAAATTAGCATATGGGTTCAGAGTGACAGGAGAGAGACCTAGAGGAAAAAAGAAAACCTTTAGGCTTTCCATGGGTGTGTCATTCCTACCTACCTTGGGAATAGCCAGCTTGTCTTTTTCGGAGCTTTCTTCAGAATCAGAACAGGTATAGTTTTCACTGAAGGAAACGACAGGATTCACTCGGGGCTTGTGAATGGCCTGGAAGGTGAGCTGGGTGCTGAGCAGGTTGCTCACGGCCCGCAAGGATGTGCACACATTGGGGGGCAGAGAAGGGTCTGCCAGGAGGTCGGTAATGAGGCCGTGAGCCTCGCCCATCACGGCAATGTCCACAGTGATGCTGGTTCCTGAAGACTGAGACACCAAACAAAGGAACAGTCAGATAAGCAAAGGCCTGCATCTGAAGGCACAGAGAATGAAATTGGGCTTGTTTGCCAAATGGACTGAATTGACTCTTTGGGGCTACAGGAGAGTAACATTCAAAACACGTTTCTGTTTCAAAATTTTCCAAAATTTGCCATGGCTTCCGCCATGTTTGTGTTCATGGCACACTTTTCATAATGTTAAAATTTGGGAAGGGGAGGATATATTTAAAGAGATTAAACACATAAACATTAATTTTTAAAAGGCACAACATTTCAGAGGACCTGAGAAAACTTCATATTCCTTATTCCTTATGAAGAGCTCGACATTTTAATGTATATTATCTAGAAATTTCATTTTGGAAATAACATTGTTAATATACTATACGATTTTAATTTTAGTAATTTCTTTCTGAAAAGACAAAACTTTAGCTTTATTAAGATGTAATATTTTAGCCTAGTTTGTGGTACCTATTCAACTACTATTAGAGATAAGCACAGAAAGCAACTCAATTTGTGTTCAAATTCACAAATTGTCCCTCTTCTGGTGGTTGGTAAGAATAGACATTTTAGTTCTGGAATTCTGCAACACATTTATCATATTTTGCCAAACTGCCTATCAGACTGAGAGACATTAGTGTGGTAAGGCCTGTGTGTGTGTGTGTGTGTGTGTGTGTGGAGGGTCCATAGGAAGAAACGAGGGATGTGCCCTGACCAGGAATTGAACCATGACCTCCTGGTACATGGGTTGATACTCAACTACTGAGCCACACCAGCCAGGCATTACCTTCATTTTTATTAGTAAAAAATAACTTGGCAAAATCAGAATCAGATAGCTGGAACTTAGTAATGCTGGGCTGCAAACACAAGTACTCTCATGCTTCAGCTTAAGTGCTGAGCTAGTACACTGGAATAAATACCGAGCCTTTTCATCTTAAGTTCTTATGTATACATACCTGTATTTAATGTCTTATTTAATTACTAGAGGCCCAGTGCACGAAATTCATGCACTCGGGGGGGGGGTGGGGTGGGGTGGTGGTTAGGGGGAGGGTCCCTCAGTCCAGCCTGCACCCTCTCGCAGTCCGGGAACCCTCAAGAGATGTCTGACTGACGGCTTAGGCCTGCTCCCCAGTTGGACATCTTTAGTGCTGCTGCAGAGGAGGGAGAGGCTGCAGAGGCAGGAGAGGCTCCTGCCACTGCTGCTGTGCGCGCCAGCCATGAGCCCAGCTTCTGGCTGAGCGGCGCTTCCCCTGTGGGAGCGCACTGACCACCAGGGGGCAGCTCCTTCGTTGAGCGTCTGCTCCCTGGTGGTCAGTGCACATCATAGCGACTGGTCATTCTGCCGTTCAAGTTGCATATTAGCCTTTCATTATATAGGATTGGGCCATGTTTTTATCTGTGTGTAGGCCTAAATATATATTATAAACCAGTATAAAAATTTAGTGTAATAGAAACAGCTTTAGGATGTATAATTATGTACATTTCACTTATGTATCTATATTGTTAACTTCCAAAATGTCCACAAGAAATGACAGTGAACTAGGTTAACATTCCCTTGTAGAAACATAAATTTTCAAATGCATCTCTAATTATTATGTTTCTGAAAAACTCAATATGATCTTCTGAAAGAGTAATATTTATTTCTATCCATGTCATTCTAATAAAGTTGAACTAACAAGTTGAACACCTTCCCTAAAAAATTGAAAATTTAAGTCAAACTTTGTTTCCAGGACATACATTTCTAGACTTTCTGACATGGAAATTAACAGTTTATGTTCTAATAATTAATATTTAGAGAGGTTTCCTCAAAATGTTCTCAATATTTAAAACTTACAAATCTGCCCAGCCGGGTGTAGCTCAGCGGTTGAGCGTCGACCCAGGAACCAAGAGGTCACCGGGTTCAATTCCCGGTCAGGGCATATGCCCAGGTTGAGGGCTGGATCCCCAGTGGGGGTGTGCAGGAGCAGCCAATCAGGGATCTCTCTCATCATGATGTTCTATCTCTCTCTCTCCCTCTCCCTTCCTCTCTGGAATCAATAAAAATATATTTTTAAAAAATAAAAC